AGGGGCAGTGAGTTCCAAATACCAAGCAGATGCAAAATTCCTACGGGTTGGGGAATTCAGGACCAGAGTAGGTGGGGCCCACACCGTGAAGACCTTTTGGAAAGAGGAACAGAGATAACGAACATGCATTCATTCATTGCAGGCCCTGTCAGTGGACAGGGGAAAAAGTGACAGAAGTGTACCTGGGGAAGATCAGAAAACAGGAAGTGGCAATAGTGACAAATGCTGAGAAGCTTAGTTGAGCTAATTACAGCTCCCCACTTCCCTTTTTAAAAATGTAATTTATCCTAATGCAGAGAGCATGGGACGTTTACCTGATGCTGAACATTTAAGAGATGTTAATGAACCAAGTGGCAGTGAAGCAAGGTTACCCATTTGAATCAAGGGACTGAGCCCTTACCTAAAACCTAGGTTTTTAAAGAGAGCAGTATTGAAAGTTTAAGTTAAAAATATAGCCATTACTACTGGCAAGTTCTGAAAAACATTTTCACTCAAGAAGTAAATATGCTAATCATCAAAAATATAATGTAGAACTTCGAGTCCAGACTACCTTTCCCTGAGCAGTTGCAGATGGCAAGGCGAGCAAACACAGTGGCTGTATGACAGCGTCCCTCCACACTGTTTTCCAGGTCTTTTTTTTTTTTTTTTTTTTTTTTTTTTTGGTTTTTCAAGACAGGGTTTCTCTGTGGCTTTTGGAGGCTGTCCTGGAACTCGCTCGGTAGACCAGGCTGGTCTCGAACTCACAGAGATCCGCCTGCCTCTGCCTCCCGAGTGCTGGGATTAAAGGCGTGTGCCACCAATGCCCGGCTTCCAGGTCTTAGTCTAGAAGTTTAACTGCCTTCAAGAAAGTTGGAGCACCCTCTGAATGGAAGCTTTGAGAAATGCTGCAGGTTAAGGAAACAACAAAATTTTCTGAACTTGTGTTTGACACATATGTAGCTATTGGGTGGGGCCATGTGAACTTGAGGCAGAAAAAGTGACTCTTTTGTACTCTTCTCATGACAATGACCTTCTTCTAAAAGATAATTTCTTTTATAAGATGTGTGAAGATGCAGGGGACATAGGTGTCTGCTGACGTAAAAATGCAGGGAGAGCTTGCAAGTAGGATTGTAGTTGTCTGGTGACAACCCTGAGAGTTGCTGAAGGAGCACAAATGTACTAGCTGATGCTAGTGCTGGACGGTTCATAGACTGTGGAAGGAGGAAACTGTTACCAGTCTCCAGCATGACTTGCCAGTAAAGCCCTGTCCTGGTCCTCTAACCTCTGTGGGAGAGTTCTGATTGGAAGATCAGCAATGAAGTATAGTTTAGTCACCATCACTTAGGCAGAGGATAAAGTGTTTCTGTTTGGTTGTTGGTTGTTTTTAATGTTTTTGTGTGTGAACAAAACTAAGATGGGAAGATTGATGTTCTCTCTGTATAGTCAGATGGAATCCAACGTAAGTAACTGTGTGGCCTTGGCGTGCGGAATGCTTTGAACTAAAGAGCTGCAAATGTCTCAGAAGTCAGGTCCCTGGCCTCCTGCCCCCTCCTTGTCTGATGTGAGCCATGAATCCAGAGCTGTCTCATAGCGTCCTCTCCCTTAACCAGCCCCGGAAACGGGGGAGGTCGCGTTCTGTTCCTCTCTTGCAGGCAGCTCTTCACTGTGAGGGGTCCTGACCACACTGGGGCCAGGAGCCCTCGGCAGAACTGCTGTTGGGTGACTCCATCTAGCACCTTCTTCATTCACATTTCCACACAGCTGTCTACTTCATAAGCACAAAAGGGAGGCAATTTTCCCCGGGTCTTTGGAATGCTCTCCTGTCAAGCAAACATTTAAATAAATTTGTTAAGCCTGCCCCTTGCGTGCCTGCCTCTGTTATAGGAATGGTGGTGGGTATGACTATTATGATGGATAAGCACAGGTTTCGCTGTTTCTTTTTCTGTACCTACAACTCTCTTTAGACTGTGTGTGTGTGTGTGTGTGTATACGGGGTGGGGAGGTGTGAGGTGGTATTTGCAGCAGTGGTGTCACAAGACTGTAATCTTGCTTTGTGTGTGTCTACCTGTTTTCTTAATCTCTTCCTTATTTCAGATTCCAAGAAGTTTTTTCTTTCCTGTTTGTTTTGTTTTTTGAATTTTAAATGACCTCTTTGTTCAACCAGCTCCCTGGTAGGATCACACCAGTTTGGCTTAATCTGAGGGTAGTGTGGGTATTCAGGGTATGGGAGACAAATCCTGCACCATGGCTTTTCTGTGGCTGGGGCGGTGCCGCTCAGGTCAAAGCACTTTTTCCATTGAGCTTGTGCGAGATTTACATGTGTAACCTAGATACGGGCCTGACTAGGGCACAGTGTGTACCCACTATCAACACGGTTGGGGATAACTGCAGAGTTGCTTTCGCTGTGCCTGCAGGGTTATCCTTCTGGCTGCCGGGAGTGGAACAATCAATATGCTTTAAATTTCAGGTGACTCCAGGACAGAATGCATGTGTTTAACATATATGACTTGCTAAATGACTAAATGTATCTACAAAATGACCCACACTATTAAAGTGGGTTAAACTAAGACTGTGCAAACCACGGATACAAGTCTCCTAAAGATGTAATTAATGGTGAGAGCACAAAATCTTGAAACTGCAAAAGAGGTTTTTAAAATAATTTGTTTGTTTTTATGTGCACTGGTGTTTTGCATTCATGTATATGTGAGGTTATCAATACCCTGAGATTGCAATTACAGACTGTTGTGAGCCGTCATATGGGTGTTGGGAATTGAACCCAGGTTCTCTGGAAGAGCAGCCAGTGCTCTTAACCACTGAACCACCTCTCCAGCCCCACCTTTAAAGTTTTAAAGCATTTGTTGTTTTTTTTTTTACTCCATAGCATATTGTTTGGAAATTATTGCTGAAAGTTAATTGAAATAATTTTCACATAGAAAATATTTAATGCAGATACCAGTAAATGCTTCAGTGGAAACAAAACAAATAGCTCCTTAAACCATAAATGTTAAGCAGTGTGATTTGTTTAGGTTCCTTCAATGTAGGTTTGCATGTCTTACGATGTAATATTGCTAAACAAAGGAAACTGCTATTAATTTATGATAGATTTAGTGCTAGAAAGTGGGTGGACATCTGTCTTAATTACCACATAGAAGAACAGTTGTTTTAGAAGGTGACCTGTGTTTCCTAGCAGTAAAATCCTGCATGTGTCTTGTTGAATAACATTTCTCTGTTTTCCCCTTCCTGTGGGGAGAGAGGGGATAGCAGGGTACAGAAGGAAGGGCTGCACATCAGCCCATTGGGGTGCTGCCAAAATTTAGGGGAGTAATTAGTGAGTAAGTTCCTGACTGGTGCCTCCCAGGACATCACCTGACACATCAAAGGAATGCCCCATCCTCCTGAGGCTAGTGACTGGACTGGAACTCAGGTGGCTGCAAAGCATTTCTGATTGTACTCCGCACTTCGGCTTATGACTAACTAATTTATTTTTAATATACTGGACACTAAACCTAATTTAGGACTATTTTTTGTTTAGAAATTTTTAAAACGGAGTACAGGTCAATAAAACTTAGATAATTGGTAAAACTAGTTCTTTTATAATTAATTTTACTCTCACGAGTCAGTCTTTTGGGTCAGCTTGTTGTTTGAATGAACAATCTCTCACGTTACTCAATTAGAGTATTTTGCTGATTAGAGTGTTTTGACCTTTTCTTTGGTTCCTTGTGTTGTCCAGTCCTTCTTGTATGTTCTTCCTGCTTGTTTGGGTGTTAAACTGTCTTGTTTTCTCTTTGTAAGGGTGATAATTAGTCTTTGATCTTCCTTCGGACCCTGTGTTGTGTCTGTTTGCTCTGTCTGTGTCCTGTGCGTGTTTGGGTCTTGTTCTTTCACGTTAGAAGATACTCATCTAGGAGTGACTTTCTGATGCTTGGCACTGGGTAAAGTCCTGTGCTTGCACTGGTTTTCGGATGCGTGGTGCCGTCTCTGGAAGCATCTGCACTCTGATTTCTGTGTGCAGCTAATTTCCATCTGTTCTCTGCCTCCCACAGACTGGCTCCCATCTCTTTCTTGCTTTGATATCTCCCTAGTTTGCTGTCGCCTTTGGGTTTTGTCATTTAAAAATGTTTCATTCATATTTTAGTTTTGTTTCAGGAGGAAGCAAAATAAGCAATATTCTGTATAATCCACATTTAATCTAGATGCCTTCCTGAAGGACGGCAGGGCGTCTAGATGGGCCTGCAGTCTGACACTGTCTGCAAGCTTTCTCCATGACTCTAGATGCTGTCTGTACTCCCTGCCCATACTCTGCAGCTAGCAACATGTTGCTTTTCACTTTTTGGCCTAATCATTATTTCTGTGGCAGTTCAACTAAATTATTACTTTATTTTTTATTTATGCACGTGCCCTCACCATGGTGCACGTGTGGAAGTCTGTGGATAAGTCTCAGGAGTCATTTCTTCCAAGGGGGTTCCAGTGATCACTCAAGTCACCAGGTTTGAGCAGCAATCACCTTTACCCAAGTCACCTCACCACTGTACATTTCTGCTGTCATACTTTTAACATTCAAAGCACCTAAAACTGAAGAAACTGTACAACTCAGTCTTTTTGCTTATTAAACATGCATGGGCTAAAACATCAGGCTGGTTGTAGCCATCTTCACACCCGTCTCCCAGAGCTCGTTGCCTCATGGGAGTCACAAGAACTGAAGTCAGTATGGGACATGATCTCAGGGTTACGGCAGGGTAGGGGCAGGGAAGCCTGACAGGCACCATCAGGGAACACTGGCATGAAAATTCCATGGGGAGGAGAACAAGGTTGTCGTAAACACTATTTCACGCAGTTTGGGACTTGTGTGTGTAAGGACATTGCATCTGCCCTGGGAAAGACTCCATTTGGGCCTGGGAGAGAGGAGTGTGGGCTCCACAGAGTACTGTCTGGGGATGTGGGGAGTAGGCCGTTTATGTGCATAGCCCTGTATGCTTCCTGTAAACCAGCACCGTGAAGCTGTCTTCCTCTCCCACATTTAGGTTTTCCTTACTGCTGCTCAACTTGGAGGAGTATTACTTTGAGCAACACACAGCGTTTCACATCCAGAGCCAAAGCAGTCATGAGGAAAGGTGAGTGAGCTCACTCAGCTGGGCACTCATAGACTCGGTGAGGTCTGATGTCTTCAAAATAAACACAGGGCTACGTGGGTGTCCCTCTTCCCACTTTTTAGTTAGGTAACAAGATGGTGGCATAGCTTATACGGTGGTTGTGGCTCCTCCAAGGTTGCCAAGCAGGACTCTGGTCATCGCTTTGCTCCTGTATCCCTCTTGTCACACAGTGCACCCTGATCTCAGTCACTGGGATGATGATGAAATAACAATTGAAAAGCATGGGCCAGTGAAATGTGTCAGCGTCTTCAAAATTAAGTCATAAATAATGCAGCATGGCCCAGAGCAAAATCTGCTTTCTCCATAACTACGAATTACTCCTTTAAAAACAGATCCAGTTGCTTGGTTCGATTTTTTGAAAGCTACAGATCAAAGCATGCTTTGTCTTTGGATTTTGTTTTCCTTGTATAAATTGTACTTCAGTGTTACTGAATTGCTGTTTAGTGTGAAATTGTTCTTGGTTGGAAAATTCTAGCTAGTAAATACAGTGGAGTGATAGAATTTAAATCCCCAGTGAAGCAATGGATCTATACGAGGGGTCAGCAAACTGCACACAGCCTTTGGGCCCAATCTGAGTGTCACCTGCTTTTACTGGTATATGACACTCGCTTTGGAGCAGTCACTGCCACTTGTTTCCCTGTGGCCCACTTTTGATCACCCTATGATAGTTGTGACAGAGACTGCATGGTCTATAAAGATACTTCTGTCTGGCTCTTCATAGAGACTATTTACCATAATTATATAGTATATCTCAGTCTTCAAGGGCTGCTAAATCCATTATTGAGAGGTTACTGGGAAGTTTTGTAATGGGCATGTCCCTCGTATGTGCTGGTGTGAGGGCACTACATGTCCCTCCCCTGAGGTACTGTCAGAGGATGCAACAGGATCTGATCTAATCTCATGGATGATGTAAAGGAAAGGCATGGTAGAGGAGTATCACACAGGTAAGCATCATTTATGGGCTGGGAGGTGGGGCTGCTGTTTCAGTGGGAGTCTCTTGCCTAGAATCCCTGAGACAACAAAAAGTCATTGTGTGGTAAAGTAATTTTAGTAAACAGACTATGAAAATGCATGTATGCAATGGAAAATTTTTGAACACAGTATGCTTGAAGACCTTAAGGAATTATTCATTTTTAAGCCTGACAGTGATAGAGCCATTACTGAAAGAGTACTTCTTCAGGGCTCTGTGTGTGGACCAGCTGGGCTGGGGAGGGGTTTATACAAGAAGCAGAGAGTACCAGTGCTAAAGTTAGGTGATGGGTATGTGGCCATTTTCCATCCTATGTGCTTATACTTAGAAATTTCATACTACTAAAAATTTAACTATTAATAAGTTTGGATATTAAAAGTAAATGAGTTTACATGCAGGCAGGACACTTAACAACATGAAAACCATGTAAATTTTCAAAACTCTTTGAGGAAGATTGTAATCTGAATTATGACCTTCTGCTGGGCCTGCTGTTCCATTTAGTGCATATATTGAGTAGTGGCGATGACCAGAAAGCTCCAGGAAACACTTCCACAGGAGAGGAGAGAGTTTACTGTGGGGTTGAGAGTCCATACTCGGACTTTGTAACTGTATTTCTCAGTGTGGGCTTTTAGTTGTTGTTTTTGACACTTTAGAGTTCTAAGTTACATAGAGATACAGACTCAGATTTTTTTCTCTTTAGGTTCTCAGATACCAAAGATCTTGAATGGCTCAGGTCCCTTACACAAAGTGGTGTAGTATTAGTATGCTCGCTTCAAGCACCATCCTGTTTACTTAACACATCTGTGATCATGTCCAGTACTGAAGAGGGCGTCTACATAGCGCTCTGTCCCCATCCACTCAGCACAATGCTGGATGCGTTGCAAATCCTAGTTTTGTTTTTGTAACTTTCTAAAATTAAAGAAAAAGTCTGAGTAGGTTGACTTTATGGGAACAACCTGGGATATACATGGCCAGCTGCAGTCACCTCAGTTAGAGTAGGGTAGCCCAAGAACACTGGATAGACAGAGTGAGAGGATTCACCCAGATACCAACCAAGGGCTGGGACAATGACTCAGTGGTTAAAGCTCTCATCGTGTGCTCATGAGGACTAGAGTTCGGACCCCTAAAGCATAAAATCCAGGCTGGGAATGGCAGTCTGCCTACAATACCAGCCTTGGAAGACAGAAGGCGGGCTTCCCCAGAGCAATCCAGCTAGTGAAACTGGCCCTTTCCATGTGCACTGGGTGTGGCTGGGAGACCCTGCCACAAAGGATAAGGTGCAACAGCGATGGAGGATGACTCCAGCATCACCCGTGGCCCTCCGTGTGCACGTGCACATGTGTGGATGTACGTTCCCCACACATGTGTCTGCTGCACACACACACAGACATGAGCACACATGCACATACTCATGAAAATGGGAGATCATAAAAATTATACTTGTACATGCTTGTGCTATTTGGAAATCATCTTAATTTTTCATAGTGACAGTAAGTATTCCCTTAAATGTGTCTGACATCATAGTAAGATGCTACCCTGGTTTAAGCACTTATAAAAATCAACTGATGAAAGTAAAGGTGAGGCATATTGGCCTAAATTAACAGTGACCCCTAAGACACTTGAGCACAATTTTTTCTCAAAACTTAGTAAAGCCATATGAATGTCCTAGGAAACTAAGTGTTCAGCCCCGTATCTGATCATATGATGTCATATCACATAATCTTTAAAATTGCTTATTGCCATGAAGTAGATTTTTCCCTGAATACTTGAAGATCATTGTTTATGGTATTTTGTGTGTAAAATTCAAACTTAATTTTTCCATGGTTCAAAAAAGCAAAGAAACTCTTTTATGTAATTGATTGTACCAGTCTATTGTTTTCTGAGTAGTCCTTCCAGATGCTGAAGATGAGAAGCCCATGGAATCTGCTGAAAGCATTGCAGATGTAGCATGTGTCAGTTTCTGAGCCCGGGTTTCTCTGGGGAACAGTTGTGAAGACTCAAGGATGATGATATTGATGATGATGATGATGATGATGATGATGATGATAATGACAATTAATGAGGTTATGGGGCTGCACCCAACAAACAAAGCCACGACTTCAGCCTGAGTGGATTTCTTCAGCCTCCAGAGAGTGGAGCTGAAGGGACATGGTCATTTTCCATCGTGCTATACCATTTCTGTAGTTGCCAAGCTTTTAATAGCTAACACCTTACCAATCCACCATTTAGTTAAAATAAATAACTTTTTGTGATTTTCCCAGTGTTCAGCAAATAATCTCTTCTCCTTTGGCTCCTAGGAAAATCAGAGGCTCCTTAAAAATATGTTCAAAATCAGTGATTTTTGAACCAGATGCAATATCCCAGCCCATCATTAAGGTAAAGGTGTCTTAAATGTGAGCAGAAACATGCGTAACTGTGTGTATATGTGTACTTTTATCTTTGATTATTTTTGTAATATCCTCTCTAATTTTATACAGATTCCTTTGAGAGACTGTTTAAAAATAGGAAAACATGGAGAAAATGGAGCCCATAGACACTCTGCAAAGTATGTCATTTCACTTTTAATTTTACTTCAACAAAAGTTTACATATCCTGATGACGTTTTTTCTGTATTCTAGGGCAAAATCTTCAGGTATTTCCCTCATTTTCAGACAGGTGAGAAGCTTCTAGTAAAAATATTTTCTAAAAATGCTAGTATGTATTTTTCCAAACTTGTTAACATTTCTGTGCATGAGTGTGTATAATTTTTTTTGCATGATGAAATCATTTACTTATATAGAGATTGACTGATAACACTTGGATGTAGCCGTTTAAATGCCTTGAGAATTTAGTCGTTGAGAAACTTGTTAAAGGGTAAGATTCTCCCACTGGACCCTCCCTGTTTACTAGGTATAAGAACTGCAGTTTGTCCTCAGGAATGAAAGTGCAGCAGTTTATTCTGTGACCTCCCACTGCTAAAGCTGGGGAGCCAGCCCTAGCCCAGTTAGTGACCTCGGACTTATGCATGACAGCCCAGCAGTGCTCCAGAAGGATAGTCTGTCCTGTCAGGGGTGACCTGAGCTATTGTCTTTTGTTCATTCCAGATACTTAACTGTATTCACTTATGCAGCCGCCATTGCACTCAATTCAATGTTGGCATCATATGACAATTAAAATGTAGTTTTTCTGCTGGCAGATCATTGATTAGTTTGCAGATTTAAGAAATTAAATAAAGAGAGAGCAGAGGTCTTTCTTTCTTCCTTTGGTTTTTGATCTCACATTCTTTATCAGCCGTAGAATATCATCTGGGTTGCCTGGACTCCTGCAGCACTCTAGTTCTGTGCACTGGCAAGGTCCAGAGAAACATTCTCTGATCGAGTGACACACTGGAGCTCTTGGTCCAGAGAAACATTCTCTGATCGAGTGACACACTGGAGCTCTTGGTCCAGAGAAGAGAAATTCTCTGATCGAGTGACACACTGGAGCTCTTGGTCCAGAGAAGAGAAACGTTCTCTGATCGAGTGACACACTGGAGCTCTTGGTCCAGAGAAACATTCTCTGATCGAGTGACACACTGGAGCTCTTGGTCCAGAGAAACATTCTCTGATCGAGTGACACACTGGAGCTCTTGGTCCAGAGAAACATTCTCTGATCGAGTGACACACTGGAGCTCTTGGTCCAGAGAAGAGAAATTCTCTGATCGAGTGACACACTGGAGCTCTTGGTCCAGAGAAACATTCTCTGATCGAGTGACACACTGGAGCTCTTGGTCCAGAGAAACATTCTCTGATCGAGTGACACACTGGAGCTCTTGGTCCAGAGAAACATTCTCTGATCGAGTGACACACTGGAGCTCTTGGTCCAGAGAAGAGAAATTCTCTGATCGAGTGACACACTGGAGCTCTTGGTCCAGAGAAGAGAAACGTTCTCTTGTGACACACTTGAGCTCTTGGTCCAGAGAAGAGAAATTCTCTGATCGAGTGATACACTGGAGCTCTTGGTCCAGAGAAGAGAAACTCTCTGATCGAGTGACACACTGGAGCTCTTGGTCCAGAGAAGAGAAACGTTCTCTTGTGACACACTGGAGCTCTTGGTCCAGAGAAGAGAAATTCTCTGATCGAGTGACACACTGGAGCTCTTGGTCCAGAGAAGAGAAACGTTCTCTTGTGACACACTTGAGCTCTTGGTCAGAGAAAGCGTTCTCTTGTGACACACTGGAGCTCTTGGTCCAGAGAAGAGAAATTCTCTGATCGAGTGACACACTGGAGCTCTTGGTCCAGAGAAGAGAAACGTTCTCTGAGGAGTGACACACTGGAGCTCTTGGTCCAGAGAAGAGAAACGTTCTCTTGTGACACACTGGAGCTCTTGGGTGCAGAGATTTGCACAGTGCCTGGAGCATCTGGCTGTGGGGGTATACAGTGGGAGGAGGCAAGGGCAGCCACTGCTGCCTCAGTCACCGAACCCTTTGTTCATAGGACACAGCTTAACATGCGCTGACATTTATCCTATGAAATCTGGGAGATTTTGAATTAAGCAACTTTCTGTTAGTACCTTCTGTAATTCTAATTTTAAAGAAGAGATGAGCTATCTTCAACTTCATATTGAATGCCCCAGATGCAAACAGATACAGCCCATCGGTGCTTTGTGGGGGAGCCCTGTTACTATCCCCAGCCCCATGTGCTCACAAGTGTGTTTCTTATTCCATCATGAGCTGATTGCAGGGCATCCGTATCTTGGAAGGAAAGAGCACTTTTTTCTTTTTATAAAAGAACCACTTTTTTAGAGAACTACTAGTTTACGTAAAGGTTTGATAACTTCGTTTTAGAAACACAGCCCGGCATCCTTCCTCTTTTCATAATTTTAGGAAGAAATCTCAGATCAAACCAATTCAAAGGATTATTTTAAGCTTCATAGGGCAAGACTTTCACCAAGTCTCAGAAATAGGTTTTGGTACAGAGTTTTGCTTTCAGATTTTGTTGTTGTTATTGCTGTCGGAATAACATTTTTGTATATGTGATGTGTGTCTATGTATAAATATTAGTTTAAAGCTATCTGTTCCTTAGGGGAGATGGATGGTGAGGGGGAAAAAGCTCTCCTCCAGTGTCAGTTAGTGATAAATATTATGAAGAAAATGAAAAGCAGGACAGAAGTGTCCTGGGCATACCAGGGAGTGTTTCTGTGCTCAGTGAGACAGAGTGGTTAAGAAAGAGAGCCACTGGGCGGTGCCAGCAAGGCGAGGTGCCAGCAAGGCTAGCCGGCAGTGATCTTGAGATGTAGGAGCACAGTGAGGGTAGAAGGGGCAGAGTGGAACACCCTGGGAGGAAGTCTGGCTGACGCAGGAGCAGGCCACTGGCGCCTCTGAACCATGGTAAGGCTGCAGAGGAAAGAACAAATGGGAAAACCGCCTGGGAGCTAGAAGAGGAGGAGTCTGACCTAATTTGTATGCATTTGAAACCTTCTGGTGAAGGTCAAGAGTGAAGCCAGGAGACCATGAGGGCGTTCTGAACCCTGGTGCTCTGCATCAGGCTGGGAGAGCTCCCCATTATTTGGGTATATGCTAAAGACAAGCCTGGCAATGTGCTGATGACTTAGTAGTTACAGTGCATAAAGGAGAACAATCCAGAAAGACTTCCAAATAGAGCTTGTGTAACAATGTAAACACTGAATTCATAGTATCTTTATAGGAATTCTTCCCAGTGAAAACTTGGTTATTTCAGTGTTGCTTTGCCATTCTCAGGTCTATTTCATTAAAGAACACAATATTGTGGCACCATATAAGATAGAACGGGTAAGTAAAGTTTTTCATGTATTATTGGACATTTATACAGTGATTTTAAATAGTATGGATTTTTATGGTTCTATTAGCATCTTTAAATATGATAATACTGAGTATTTAAAAGTTTATTAATAATTATTGCAAAAGTACCCAAGGGATCTTTCACCTAATAGCAAAAGCTTTAGCCCTAATAGCAAAAGCTTAGAGATCGTATTATATTAGAAGTGGAAGAAATGGAGAGATGGCACAAGGGTTAAGAGCACTGGGGTTTTGTTGCACACACAGCAGCTAAAAACCATTTGTAGCTCCAGTTCTAGAGGATCTGATGTCCTCTTCTGGCCTCTGCAGGCACTGCACATATGTGCTACATAGACATATGTGCAGGCAAAATAACTATACACACAAAATAACACATCTTTTTAAGAAAGGAAGGAAGAAACTGAAGTCATAGTGTACAAATTTATAAGCATGTTTACTGTGTATCACTGGAAATTTTTTGCCTACTGTTACAGAAAATAATTTTTTTCCAATGTGTCTCTTTATTTATTTTTTTAATTTATTTTTTGTTATTTTAATTTTAAATAGTTTGATTTACATGTCAATCCTAGTTCCCTCTCCCTCCCCTCCTCCCACAGCCCCCCACCATTCCCCCATCCTCCCACCCTATTGCCAATTCTTTCCACATAGGGGATATCTAGAGTCTGTCATTTCATTCAGAGTAGGGTCCAGGCACTCCCCTAAGAGTCCAGGCTGAGAGAGCATCCCTCGTTGTGTTATGGAAACATGACGTCTGTTTGTATTCCAGGGATAAACACTGATCTACTGCCCAGGGCTCCATAGAATGCCCAGGCCTCCTCACTGACTCTCACATTCAGGGGGTCTGGATCAGTCCCATGCTGGCCTCCCAGCTGTCAGTCTGGGGTCCAAGAGCTATCCCCTGTTCGGATCAGCTGCCTCTGCTGTTTTTGCCAGCCCATTCTTTGCCAATTTGCTCATCGCTCCTCTCTCTCTGTTGCTGGGTTCCTTGGGTTCAGTTCAATGTTTAACTGTGGGTGTTTGCCTCTGCTTCCATCAGTCACTGGATGAAGTCTCCAGGATGGTTATAGACATCAAGTTCATTATCAGGAATGGGCATTCGGGGTGGTCTCTACACTATTGCACAGAAAATAAATTTTTAAGAGTATTCAAGAAATGCTTAATCAAATGCCTCATATTTGATAACAAACGTATAAAGTCTTAATTTGGTGGAAGTTACAAGGAGTTATCAAGGACACACTGGCCTATGTTGTTAGTCTTCATGCTGCAGCATACAGTGTAGAGAAGGTATCACTGTTACTAAAGGAGTTTTTATAGGACTAAGGGGTGGAGCTAGCTCCTAATAAGGACACTTCTGTGAATGAGAAAGGCCACACTGTCAGCAAACCTGGGTGACCTTTCCTCAGGTAGGTCTGCTAAGACCACCTAAAGTACAGCCATGTAGCTATCGATGCATGTGAGGGTTCTCTGGGGGCGTAGACCATCAGGATGTTTCATTTTTGTGTATGCGCGTGCGTGAGTGCATGCGTGCGTGCACCTGTGTATGCATAGTGCCTGGTGAGATTGAGATGAGAGTGTTATAAGGAATTTATTAAAGGAACCAATGTGGGACATAATAAACACCGAGACATCCAGCCTTACAATGTAAGATGAGTCTGTCTGAAGGGAGGGAAAGCTGAGAGTTCCAGCAGAAAGATAGCCACAAGGCAGTTTTTATCTGTAGTCTTTTGTTCTCTTTGAACCTTGACAGACAAGACCCACTTATGTAGAAGAGGGCAGTCTGTCTTAGTCTAGTGTTTCCATTTTAACTCTACTCAGATACTCCCTCGTGGACATACAGAAGCAATGTTTACTGGTGACCAACGAAATCGACATGGAATGTTGGCCATCATGTGCTCCTGTCCTCAGGGCACCCCAGTATATGGAGCGAATATTGAGGGAGATGAGGGAAAAACAGATATCAACACTGTGACAGTGAGAGATTTCTACAACACTCAACAAGAAGATCACACAAAGAACACCTGCCAGGAGCCAACACTGCAGGCCAGGTGGACTCATGGATACAGCACAGAACATTTCACACATCACATGTTAGGTCAAGAAAAAGCAAGCCTTAGCAAAGGTGAGGTTGAAATCCCTCACCACACTGAGGTGAAAACAGAACAGGAAAGCCACAGATAGTGCCGTTAGACTGCACAGTCTCCAGCCAGCAGTGGATCAAATAAAAGAGAAAGTTGCAAACACTGCATGACAAATGAAACAAAAAGAGATGCAACGATAGGAGGAATGAAAACTAGACGTCTACGTTACACAGGAAGAAAGACTCAACATAGAACTAACTCCACCCCTCAGGGAATGAGAACAGGAGGTCCAGACTGAGTGCGGGTGCATGGAAGGCAGTGAGTGACAAAACAGCCGTGGGTCTTGTTCTTGCTCGCACTCTCTCAGTTCTGGGGACATGGGCAGAAAAGAAGCATGCAGGTTGGCAGCTAATATGCTGCTGCTTCTGTCCTCATCAGGGAAAAATGGAGTATGTCTTTGAACTGGAGGTTTCTGGGAAGGTGGAAGATGTTGTGGAGACATTGCTACAGGTAAGCCAGCCATTCAATCTCACACCCACAGAACACAGAGCAGAGTGAGCTGGAAGCAGGGCCTCATATAGCTCAGGCTGGCCTCCCCCTGCCTCTCCCTCCCTGGGACTGGGGTTGAAGGCATGCACCACCACATCTGCTCGGGAACCATCTTTTAAATCTCGTATTTCATCTCACCCAGATAACTGTCACTTCTCTAAATACTCTGATTCACTTGAATTTGGAAACTTAAGTAGGAAAAGCCACAGACATCAGAAGTGACCTCCACTGTTACTAAGTGGCAGACTAATCAGTGTTTTCCCGTTGCCTCTAAAGAAATACCTGATGTTACCCGCATGGAAACTAATTGTGTATATTTGTCATATCGTAGTTGCACAGGGCATCTTGTCTTGATAAACTTGGTGACCAAACGGCCATGGTAAGTGTTGTGAACAATTGCTGTCTGACTAGGAGTTAACTTCTAATCAGCTCACTGGTACTAATGCCCATATTTTTAAATGGTTCTTCTTGTAGATAACAGCTATCTTGCAGTCACGATTGGCTAGGACATCATTTGACAAAAACAGGTAAGTTTCAAGATTTTGTTTTCTGACTAGAATGCAGTGAATGGCTCCGTCTGCAGGTCTCTTTCAGCATGCTCAACAGTGATGTGGGCTGGGATGTGGGGAGCATTGCCTAACACATATTAGGCTTTGGTTCTGGCCCCAGCACAGCTTGCATCTTATTCCAGACATGCTCATCTTAGGGAATGGGTTAGCCTAAGAATGATAACTCTCAGAGCTTCCTCTGCCCTTCTCCTTCCTGGCATCTGCCACTTAGAAAGTCTGTGCATCCCACCACTGCCATCTCTCTGGGATGGCCCCGGCGCACCATAGCAACCGTCAGCTCATATTCTCGATGCTGGTCTCTCTCCTCATTTCTTCACCCCACAACCTAGTGACGTCCTGAGTTGTGTCCTGTGTAAAGAACACATTTATCACTTGGCTGTTGGAAGTTACAGTGACCTGCTGCCTTGGCCTCGGCTGCTTCTGTGGCAGTGTTTGCTCACTGCTCAGTGCTCCAGGTGGCTGTTGGCACTCAAGAGTTCTGGGCTCTGGCTGCCTGCAAATGGAGCGAGGTCCTGAGGGTCAGCTACTCTCTGCCCTCTAAGCCTTTGTTGTGTTCTCTTGTTCCCCCTTCTCTTTCCTCCTTCATCTTAGCCCTTGGAACAGGTACCTGCCTGTCTTTTGCTTCTGGCTAACTGGGCTTTCTGATTTTAGCTTAGCTGTCAGTTCTTCAAGAGAGTCTTTCTTTGGCCCTTCAAATTGCATTGAGTACTTTCCTATCATTCCCCACAGGGACCAAGAGAGTATACTTACTGTCCTAATGGTTGTCCCATTGATTCTTTGCCTTATTAAGTATGCAATTCAGTTTCTGAAAATAATGATGCTATTTTTATTATCCTAGTTTCTTGTTTATTTCTTGCCTTAGATGTGGACTATTTGCCTATTTTTTATTTTATTTTTTGCTTTTTTTGCCTATGCTTTCATTTAACTTTCTTCTGTATTACTTCTTCTTCGCAGTAACTATTGGTACCTTGTAGTTCACAAGCTTCTATAACACCAGTTCTAGGAGAGCTGACCTCCTAGGGCCCCAGACACACAGGCGCACAAGCATACATATAAAATGAAATAAATAAATCTTAAGAAATTAAAAAGTGGTTCGCTTTGACAGTTTTAATTTATTTATTCAGAGCCTGAAATGCTATACTGAGGGACTTAGGGAGGTGTCTTTGCAGTGTGAAATAAAATATTCTAGTCATGTGCGCTGTTTCTAAAAAAGTGAAAGCAAACTTGAGAGCATAAGCTTTCATCATGTTTTGAAGATATGCTTCTTACTGAAGAAATAGGACTATATTTTCCCTACTTTTTATGTTAAAAGGGTTCAAACTCTATTAAGTTGAAAAAATAATATAATAAACACATATCCTATGACTTACTAGGTCTTTCCAGTTTGCTTCGAATATTGCCATGATCGTTGGTGTATTTGTGTCGCTGCTCTGGTGTGTGTGTTTGTTTTACTCAAGCTTTTTTCTTGTCATTATCCTCTCAGTAGTGCAGTAAGGTGGCTTCTGTGTAGCACTTGGAGGGCATCAGCTATTGTGAGTCATCTAGTTAGGCCAGTTCAACCTGCAGAGGAGGCGGCTGAGTTTATGCAAATATTGTGTCCTTGTAGATAAGGAATTTGGGCAACTGCAGATTTGGGTGTGTGCATGTGTGTGTGGGTGCATACACAGGCACATCTCTATGTAGTATATATGTATGTGTTTGCATGCTGAGTATAATTTTTCAAATTGTTTGATACTAAGTTGCAGTACATCATGGCAGTGTCCCATCAGTACTTAGGTGTGCATGTGTTAAGGAGGACATTCTTACCATCCTTGGTATCCAATTAGTCACAATTCATATTCACCCAAAGTTTTTTTCTTTAGTTTTGAATGGTTTTAAGTTTGTAAATGAAGGAGTCTGTAGAACTCCTCATTAGTCACTGAGCTCCCCAGTGTTAGGTATTTGTTGTGTATTTTCTGGGCACATTTCTAGGTATTTGCTTGATGCTATTGAAATTTTCTTTTCCAAATATTTGTTACCGGTATACAGATACAATAACTTCTTTTCTTTTAAATATTGACCTTTTACTCTGCCTGACACTTTTAAATTCATGCAACATGGGTTTTTAGAAGAATCTATATTATTTTCATGTTTGTAATCATTCCTGGACAAGGGCAGTTTCACAGAAATTTCTGTTTATTTTCTACTTGCCATCTCATTGTATGTATTTGTTAATGAATATCTTAGGGGCAGAAACTCTGCCTTTTTCTTCATACTGAGAGAAGATGGTTTAGTGTTTGTCATTAAGGAATGATGCTAGCTATAAGGTTTTCATCAACACTCATTGTCACAATGAGGAAGCTCACTTTTATTTTGCTGAATGTTTTTTGCAGTAAAAAGTAACAGATTTTGTCAAATATTTTTTCTGTACGTATGGACATCATTTTTCTCATTTATTGTTAATATTATAATGTATGTTGATTTTTTAGAGTTAAATGAACTTCGTATTCTTGTAAAAATATTTAAGATCATGGTGTGTGATCCTCTCTATTGCCTTGCAGACATGTTATCAGATTTTCTCACATCTGTAGACATGCAGGACATTGCTCTGTCATTCACTAATAGTTGTACAAGACTCTGCTGGCCTCATAGAACAGATTTGGATGTGTTCTGTGATCCTATGTTTGAAAGATGAATGAGGCTTGGTGGTATTCTTTACAGTTCTCTGTATAATTTACAGATAAAGCTGTATAAATATGAAGTATTCTTAGGGATTGTACTTGATAGAGTTTATTTTTATTGCCATCATCATTATTACTGTTATTTTGAGAGAAGGTCTTGCTGTATGGCTCAAACTTGCAATCATTTTGCTTGAGTCTCCTCAGCATTGTGAAAGAAATATGGACCAACACACCTAATTTATCTTATTTCTTTATGTTTGATTTGTAATGTGTATGGATTTTTGCCTGTGTGTGTCTAAGTATGTACCATGTGCATTTCTGGTACCCATGGAGCCCAGGAGAGAACTTTGGTTTCCCTAAAACTGGAGCTACAGATGGTTGTGAGCCGCTATGTGGGCGCTAGGAATAAAACCCCAATCCTGAAGAGCAGCAAGTGCTCTTAACCACTGAGCCATCTTTTCAGCCCTGGCTTACTTATTTTTTTAAAATTAGGTACAGAACTATAATTTACAAGCAGTTTTTTGTATCTATTTTGATATATTGTATATTTCAAAAATGTGTCCATTTTGTCTGGCTTACCAGACACGTATTTCTTAGTGTCATTTAACACTTGTAAAACATTTATTTATTTAGTTGAGAGTGAACTGCAGGTGTGTGCATGCCTTGACACATGTGGAGATCAGAGGACAACTCTCACAAGTCAGTTCTCTCCTCTCACCGGGTGGGTCCTAGAAGTTTCATGCCAGCAGACTTCCTAGTCTGGGGTATTTATGCCTTATGTTGATACTTTTCGTTTTCCATTTTCCCTTATCAGTGTTGTGAAGGGATTACCAACTATTAACCTCAAGTAATGCCCTTCGTCTTAGTTATGTTTCTAGTCAGCCATTTTATTTACGCAGATGCCCACTTTTATGATTTCTTTCTTCAGCTTACAGAGAGCTGAGGAAGCGTCATTGGGTGCGAAGAGCAAAACTGTAGTGGCAGGCATTACTAGGCCTCACTTCCTTTTGTCACAGTAGCACTTTAACTCGGCCTTCCTCCAAAGTGCTACTCCAGCCCAGGTTTCTTTGTTGTTCATTTTGTAGCTAACTTATGGGTGATTAGAAATAGGTTGCTTACTTTTCACACAGTTGAGGAGTTGATCAGAAAATGTGTTCTATGTGTCAGTCTTTTGGTGTTTGTTTGAATCTGTCTCATAGCCCGATATATGGTTGATCTTGGTGAATATTTCCTGTCTCCAGTAGCTCTAGACTCCAGGGTCTGTAATAGTGCTTACCTGATGGTTGGGTCCAGTGAATATACCACGTGGCTGCTTTGTTGACTTGCTCATCATTTGCTGGAGAGAGGTGGTAAAGCTGATAGCAATGATTATGGAATTCCTTCCTTTTCCCTGAAGCTGTCCTGGCGTACAGACTTTATTACTCCCATGAGGCCACCCTCTTTCTGCCACTTTCCTGTTGGTCTCTTCATTCTTCATGCCTGCACCCTTGGGCTTCTGTTTGGTTCTAAGAACTCGTGAGGATTGTTCAACTTACGAGTTGTTTGTGATCACCAGGTGAAAACCTCGGGTCTCTTCCAGCTTTCATATTTTTACTTAGAGAAAAGTTTGTCCCATTTGTCATGTCCTGACTTTCCTTACTTGTCCTTGGTGCCAGGATCGAGCCAGGGCTCCTGCATGATAAGCACACACTCCAGTGCTGAGCTGCACTCCCAGGCCCATAAGATTTGCTTGTAATTCAGGTTTTTTTTTTTTTTGTTTTTTGTTTTTTTGTTTGTTTGTTTGGTTTTTCGAGACAGGGTTTCTCTGTGGCTTTGGAGGCTGTCCTGGAACTCGCTCTGTAGACCAGGCTGGCCTCGAACTCACAGAGATCCGCCTGCCTCTGCCTCCCGAGTGCTGGGACTAAAGGCGTGTGCCACCAATGCCCGGCTGTAATTCAGTTTTTTAACCAAGTCATTACCCTAAAATATTGACAACTTGGTTGTTTCTGTACTACTTTTTAAATTAACATATCAGAAATGGAGTTGTCTTTTTAGTTAAACATTTAAGCGTAGGAAAGGCATCTTTGAGTGGTTTTACGCATAGAAATGAAACCGAGTTTTAAGTAATTGGAATTATGTGTTCAAAACCTGAAAAAGTAAATGTGCTAAAGATATGGTCTTGCTTTGTGTCCCAGGCTACTCGGAAACTCAGGTTACTCCTGCCTCAGTCTCCCTCATGCTGGAATAATAATGGGTGTGTGTGTATCTGTGCTCTACAAGTACTCTTAACCATGTAAAAAAAAGTAGGATGTAACATGGATGTAGGAATAGCTTCAGGACTGCTCATTTTGGGTGAGATTTTGTTTCTGTGAAATGTAATCTCTTTTGTTAACAAAAAGTCGGGCTTCCATTATACCATCTAAAAGAATGTCAACCTATTTAAGCAGACAATTTACATTTCCACCTTCTTCACATTAGTTGTAGTGTTTAGACAGATAGCAGACAAATTTACAGTGTGGTTAAACCTAGAGAGTAGATAAACTTCTGACTTTTACTGTAAAACATCTTTGCAGGTTCCAAAGTGTTTCTGAAAAGCTGCATATGGAGTGCAAAGCTGAGATGGTGACGCCTCTGGTGACGAACCCAGGACATGTGTGCATTACAGACACCAACCTGTATTTCCAGCCTCTCAATGGACACCCGGTACATAGATCACACCACATAGGTCACGTGCTGCATGTGTAGGTCACAGGGCATGTACAGTGCTTGCTTCTGTCTTCCAGCTTGATTTTCCAGGACCTGACATCAGAGTTACTGTTTTGAGTGACTTGAGTTACTTTCCCCTCACTCTGGGGGGGAAGGCCAAAGACATTTGGCAGCCTCAGGTAGCCGTGTGACTTCCTGATGCCCGGCTGGGTTGGGTGCACACTCATCTGACTGCAGCCTCCTCTGATCCCTGTTCAGCCATCCTTATTCCTAGTAGTGTGTAGGGAAACTCCACCCCTCCCGATGTGGTTACATCAAGGGAGATTTATCCTTCTTCTAAGAAGCGCAGGGGATGATACCAAGAAAGTGCTGTAATGAATGAGAAATTGGTCTCCTGTGTGCACTTGCCTGTGTGTAAGCATGGAGCGGCCCCGCTTGTTTCTCCTCCATTGCAGTGTTTTCTGTGAGTATGAGCTTCTCTCATAGCCAATGTGGGGTTCTGTAGAGATGCTACAGCCTGGCTTTATGGGACTCTTCCCATAGTCTAGGATTCCTCCCATTATCTCTTTTTTTTTTTAATTTTTTTTTATTTTGGTTATTTTTTTTTAATTTTAAATAGCTTGTTTTACATGTCAATCCCAGTTCCCTCTCCCTCCCCTCCTCCCGCACTCCCCTTCCACCCTCCCTCCCACCCTATTGCCAAATCCTTCCACATAGGGGATGTCTAGAGTCTGTCATTTTACTCTTGGTAGGGTCAAGGCACTCCCCTAAGAGTCCAGGCTGAGAGAGCATCTCTCTTTGTGCTATAGGCACATGAAGACAGATTGTATACCAGGGATAGACACTGATCCACAGCTCAGAGCCCCATAGGTTGTCCAGGCCTTCTCACTGACACTCACATTTGGGGGGTCCAGATCAGTCCCATTCTGGCCTCCCCCTGTCGGTCTGGGGTCCAAGAGCACTCCCCTGTTCAGATCAGCTGTCTCTGCTGGTTTTGCCAGCCCATTCTTTGCCAATTTGCTCATCATTCCTCTCTCTCTGTCACTGGGTTCCTTGGGTTCAGTTCAGTGCTTAGTTGTGTGTTTGCCTCTGCTTCCATCAGTCCCAGGATGAAGGCTCCCGGATAGTTATAGACATCAAGTTCATTATCAGGAATGGGCATTCGAGGTGGTCCTTCCACTATTGCTTAGCTTGCCAATTGATGTTATACCTTTAGATCACTCAAGGTCACTCTGGTGCCTGATCTGTCTTCGATCCTATGATTCCCTCTTCCCCCTATTCTACCCCCACCCCCTCAACTTCCTGTTCCCCCATGACCAACTCCCTTCCTCTTTACCCCCTCTATTCTTCCCAGGTCCCACTACCCCCCCCCCCCTCGCCCTGGAAAAGAATGAACGTTAGACTTAAAACTGTGCCAGGAAGTAAACAAACTCATCTCTACAATAATTTGTAAAGATGTGTTGCTCACTCAGTGATAGTCCTTTGGGAGTGGACTGAGAAAGGAACAGAAGTCCTGTCCCTCTGGCCACACATTGGACCATTTGACAGGGCACTTTAACTGACAGGGAGTGTTTTCCTGGACATTCTCCAGGCTGGTCATTGGCTCTAAACTGAAGTCAGACATGGTGTTTTAGTGATTTTGTCCACTAGGTGGTGGCACATACTGGTCAAATCCTACAGTCATAGCACATGGCTGGTTGGCATGGGTTCTCTAAGGTTAGCTACTAATACTATTTTTAGTCAAAAACTTGTAGAAAAATGTGTGGCAGCACAGCTTCAGGGGACACAGTGAGCACATATTTCTTCCCAAAGCCCTGGCCAGGCTTCTTGGACTGCATTAGGGTCTTTAAGGACTTTCTCATTGTTGCAGAGCCTGGCTTTCCTATCACCTGGGAGCAGGGATGTAGAAGCTTTGCATTTTAGCTGAGCACATGGTACGTTCTGTTTTTGATTCTCTCTTATTATTCTTTTCAAGCTCAAGAGAATCGAAAACATTTTTTTCTTTAAAGCAGAAAGCCTTACCTTATGTTGTAATTTATAAAGTCTGTAATAAAGGAAATTAAAAATATTATTCTTTGGGGGGGAAAAAGGTTGTTAGGACAAAGCAAACCCTACATCAAAGCTCAGGGCTGGAGGGACGGTTTGTTAATTAAGAGCATGCACTTGCCAGTCATCAGGACCAGAGCTAGAATCCTAGCCCCCACAGAGCCCACAGTGTCCCACCATACCTGTGTCTCTGCTCTGAACCAAGTGGAGATAGTCGGGAAAGACCCTGCCCTAAAGAATGGGTGGAGATTGGTAGCACAGGATACCTGATAACTTCTCCTGGTTCACACGTGAACACACAGTTACATGTAGCTCCTCACACGTGTGTATGCATACACTCAAATACTAATACACAGGTACATGTAGCCCCTCACACACAGGTGCATGCATGCACTCACACACACACACACACACACACACACACACACACACACAATAAATAAATAAATGTTTTGAAGCAGCGAACTTCTTGAGTGTTCCGCACCACACAGTCACGCTTGTAGTAGCCTGAAAGATGAGTGTACCATTATCATCTGAGTTTACTGAGGAGGATTAGGAGAGATGTCAGAGTAAACTGTGAAATCAGGTACCATTTGTTCCAAGATCTCCCTTAGCTGTTCAACCGCAGCACCCTGGGAAGGCAAGGATGTGTGGCTCTTTCCCTCCCTGCTGTAAGATACAAAAGAACAACTTCTAATTGTGTTAGAATGGTGACTCTTGATACTGCCTTTGTCCTTTTTAAAGAAACCTGTGGTCCAGATAACACTCCAAGATGTTCGGCGCATTTACAAAAGAAGGCACGGCCTCATGCCCTTGGTGAGTTCAGTTGATGGGTGCAATGCAGCAGCTAATTGACGTACAGGCCCCTGAGGCGGGCCTGACAGCCCAGGTGTGCTGAATGTGAGCATGTGGAGCTAGACATTGATAGAAGAATAACTCTGCTCTGGAAGTAAGAGCTTGCATTGCAGAAATATTTTTTGTTCAAAGAGCGAAAAGGCTAGAGAGTCCCTGAGTTTCTCACTCCTGAGTTTTTAGAACTTCTGGACTAAGACTAGAACGATGCTTGCAGGGCAGTCCAGAGTCCTCCCGCAGCAGCCGGGTCTCCAGAGAAACACTGGGAAGATCAGTAATACAGTAATACAGCCACAGCAGTTAATTTAGCCTTCGAGCTTAGGGAGAAACAGAGAAGATTGCCATTAAAGCATAAGGAGCTTCTTCCTGCCACCTCCTCGCTGCGCAAACACCACTCCCACATTTATCTCACATAGAAACTAGTCACTAGTGAGTAGATGGCTCCAAGGTGTTTTGAACTGATATCAATATAAGTTCATTTTCCTTTGCAGGTTATAAGTAGCTCATTTGCAAAATTCAAGCACTTTGCTACCTGTTTTGTATCCATTTCTTGCAATAATAGAAAATTACAAAAACCAGATCCTATTAAAAATCTTGTGCTGTCAGTATAGGAGAGCAGTCAGTAAAAGTGAAGAAACTAGCATTGCTTACCCAGGAATTATCTCCCTAACTTCTCTAGCTAGTGAATACCAATGGCCCGGACTTGAGCCCAGGACCCATCTGGGCCCTCCTGGTTGTCTTCTCCCATATTTCTTTGCCAGCACAATGCCCACGAAGCTTACAGCTTTCTTTTCACTTGAGACTTGACCTTCCTACAGCCCAGGTGGCGCAGAGCTCAAGATCTCCTGCCTCTGCCTCCGTAGTGCTAAGCAAACAGACATTCAGCTCATAGATTCCTTCAGAATAACCACAGCTGAATGGGTTATTTGCTTATTAATTTGTTGTTTCATAGTTATTCAATTTGTACAAGAAAGCTATGTGGGTTCATTGGCAATCTAATTTTAAATTTCAGAATAATAAGCTATTGTCATTAGCAATATTTGGTACTAAAGAGAATTGCATTGTTTGACTAATGAATATCTCTTATTCTTAAGATGTTTGTAAGAAAGCATATATGAATATAGGGATGTATATCCTGAGTCAAATTAGAAGTGTAAGCAAGGTCTAAAGCCCAAGCATATAAATGCTTGGCTGACATTTATGATTGTGTACTTGTGTGATTTCAGGATGAACATGGAACTATTTGTTTTGTTCTTTCTGAATTTTTAGGGCTTGGAAGTGTTTTGCACAGAAGATGACCTGTGTTCCGACATATACCTAAAGTTCTATGAGCCTCAGGACAGAGATGACCTCTATTTCTATATTGCCACGTACCTAGGTTTGCTGGCCTCACTTCATTGTCTGTGCATGTAAAGGTAGCTCAAGTCCTCAGAAGCCCGGACAGCAAATAAGAGAAGAAACATTGTTTTGCCATAGTTTTACTTTTTGTTCTGATAGATTATCTTAGAGACAAGGCAAATGTGAATTCTTTTTGGGAATAGCTCATTTGTGTGTTTTGAAAGCTCTTGATGAATATGTTTAAATGTTTCTCTATTTTAATGATCTCCAACCTGAGTGGGTTACAAAGAGTCTACCCGAGAGTTTTGTCACGTAATGATTTAACTTGTGAAAACCAAAACTGAGTTTTTTTTTTGAGGTGGGCATATATGTTTGTGATCATTAGTTGAGGTGTTCATCACAGAGCCAGGACATTGTGGATGGAGCGGGTGAACCCACTGTGCTCAGCTCAGCACCCTTGAGAGACAATCTACTGTCCTTAGAAAAGACTCCTCAGCCCTCATGGAAAATGGGAAGTTCTCCACCTTTATCAGAAAAGTCCCCTACATTTTCATCAGTTTTATTAAGCTATATGACTAAATTAAATTCCTAATTTACATGAATGTCATATCACTAAAAAGGAATGATTTCTTAAATAGGAGTTGAGATTTTATTAATGCATCCTAATTGGTTTCTCTCTGGTATACAGTGAGATCATTTCTAGATGTGTGGTGAAGGATCTTTCCCGCAACTGAAATTTCCTTTTAGGGAAGGCTTTTATTCCAGCAGGAATCTGTTTGATCTCACAGTAGCTTATAGTTATTTTCCCCTCTTTGAGCCTTTACATTAATATAGCAAATGATCAGAGATGTACTATAAGTGTGTTTTTGTCTTCTGAGCCCCACGATGGAGAACTCACAGTCTTCGGGAGAATACTGAAGTTGCAGTCGAAGCCCCTCCCTCTCTCTACTTGCTCTCTAGCTGCCACTCTGTCTGGCTCATTTCTAAGTTTGCTCAAGCTTTTCCAGAGGATTCCAAGAGCTAAAAATGTAAAGAAAGATTTCCATTCTTTGAAGCCTTTCCTGGTAGCTAATTAGAAACTTGGTAAGAAGTAAATAAGAAGACGTACACAATGAAACAGCACAGGGGTCAAGATGCTGGATGCATCCAGTAAAGAGTTTTAGGTTCAGAAAAGCAGAATTTTCTAACCAAAATAACAAATCCAATTTATTTGTAGGAGAGTTGAGTCATTCTGACCTTTCTGAAATTGTAGTCTCACTAAGAGGCCATTTTTCCCGGGAGAACCTTTATTCTGGTTTAATAATTAGTCCTACAAAAATCTCCCTTTTTCTTTGGCAGTTTTGTGTTAACAAGTTCATAGATAATATATTGCTATTGATAAATTGGCAGTAGTCCACCTCTTCAGAATCTAAAAAACATTAATTAAGTCCCAAATGGTTCTGTTCTGCCTTCCTAAAAAAATGAGGGGAAGTGTGCACAAGTGGCCATGGTTTCTAAAAATTCATCAAACTGAGCACATTTGATAGAACTCTGTGTTATTCATTGGGTAATTGTCATCTGCCACATAGTGCTTGTGTGTTCACTCCATGGTCTGTTCAAGTTATGTAATATTTGGGAGTGGTTTGATAGTTGTTCAATATATTTAATAACTTCTTATCCAGGATCTTTGTGAAAACAAATCAACATTTCGGAAACACTGAGGAAGCTAGTTCTGTCACATTAAGTAGAAGCTGGCCAGTTATCTGTGAAGGACAGTGACCACTCCGCCTCTCTCCCCCAGAACACCATGTCGCAGAACACACTGCAGAGAGCTACATGCTACAGTGGCAGCGAGGGCACCTCTCCAACTACCAGTACCTGCTCCACCTCAACAACCTGGCCGACCGCAGCTGCAATGACCTCTCCCAGTACCCCGTGTTTCCATGGATAATAAATGACTACTCCAGCCCCGAGTTAGGTGAGCACTGTCAAGCATAAGTTCTGATGAGAATCTGCTTCCAAAAGGGAGGATGCATTTTATATCATATCGGGTTACAGGACCAAATCAGAACTCATTTCAGTTTTCTCACTGAAGACTGCCAATTTCCATTTCAAAATATTGGACAAATATTGTGTAAATAGTGTTTTATGTGTATTTATTTCTTCTGGAAGGTTATACATAGGATATGTGTGGGTAGTCTTAGTTCAGTCTTCCCACTATTGAGTGTAAATGCCAAGTTTTGAAATACTTAAATTTCTCACTGAAAATTTCATTATTATTTTAAATTCACATTGGAATTTTTGAATACCAAAAAACAAACAACAACAACAACAAAAACCCAACCATCCACTAATCACAGGAGGAAATGGAAGTGATCCATAGTCAGATTATGAGAGGTGAGAGTATTCCTCAGGCTTTTGTGTTGTTACTATGACAAAACACCTGAGAAAACCAAATTATAGGGGGAAAGATTGATCTTAGCCCCTGGTTTCAAAGGGTTCAGTGCACCGTGGCAAGGACATTAAGCAGAGCCAGGAAGCATGTTAGCCAGGAAGCAGGGAAGGAAAGAGCAAAGAGCTAGGATAAGATACGGCCTAGAAGACATGCCCTAGTGACCTCCCTCCTCCAGAGGCCTGCCTCCTCTTTTCACTCCTTTTAGTACTGACATCATGTCACGAATCAACCGAAGGATTAATCCATTCATTAGGGAAGAGCCCAGTGTGATAGTGTTGTAATTTTATATAATATTGTAAAATTGTATATTATGATCAGATACTTCTTTTTTGACAGTTCAGTAAGTTGAATCATTTGTCATTGAAAGTGGTAATACATTGTCTAGGGATATAAGAATATATTTCTTTGCTAATTTTTTAATCTTTTATTTTTTAATTTTGCTGATATAGCTGGGTGGTGGTGCATGCCTTTAATCCCAGTACTCTGGAGGCAAAGGCAGGTGGATCTCTGTGAGTTCCAGGCTAGCCTGGTCTGTAGAGTGAGAGTTCCATGACAGCCAGGGCTACACAGAGAAATCCTGTCTCAAAAAACAGAAAAGAAAAAAATTGTTTTCTAATGTCACAAAAGAATATTCTGTCTAGTTCAGACATAGAAAGTAAACCTTTGTAGAAGAATATGGATTTAAAATTTTGTTTTTGTAATTTTACTTGGATTAATTAGGCTTCCTCAGTATTTGATTAGAAAGTACTTTAAAATGATAGTTATTTATTTCTTTATGTGTGTGAGTGTACATGTGCCAAGGTTAGAAGTCATTTCTCGCCCTCCACCAGGTGGGCCCCAGGGATTGGACACAGGTTGTCAGCCTCCATGGCAGGTGTCTTGCCCACAGACCCATCTGGCCTGCTGTAGACAACCTTTTTTTAAACAGTCTGTATTCAGGGTGTCTCGTGCTACAGACGTTACTGTTAAGTGGATGTAGTTTTGTTTCCTCCAGCTATATGAATAACATAGTGCTCACTCCTCGTGGGTCTATCTCATGTAAGACTACTCTGTAGAAACTAGTGTGAACTGGCTCATGTCACGGTGTTTATATTTACAGATTTGTCAAATCCCGGAACCTTCCGAGATCTTAGTAAGCCGGTGGGAGCCCTAAACCAGGAACGGCTGGAGAGACTACTGGTATGTGTGTGGAGCTTGTGGCTTCGAAGCAGCCTCACAAATCATGGCCTGTGCTTGCTCAGTAGCTGAGGCTCAGTCCCCATGCTTAGCCCATTCCTGCCATGACCTGCGGATAACTGTTTGTGGGTGTTTGTCTTTAATTTGGGAAGTAGAAGGATGACCTGCTTGAATTATTTTCATGAAGATAATCTTTGATAAACTGCAAAAGAGGTGCACGCAATTAGTTCTGTTGTTGGATGTCAGCACCATCAGCACCAGAAGCCTAGGAACGAGCACTGTCACACATGCGCATCTCACTGGCCCTCTGCTGTGAGGAACAGTGTGTCAGGATCTCCACTAAGGGTTGACACCTGAGTCAGGTACTGTCTCACAGTCAACACATTTGTTCTTATGTTGTAGACTCGGTACCAGGAAATGCCCGAGCCGAAGTTCATGTACGGGAGTCACTACTCTTCCCCAGGCTATGTGCTCTTTTACCTCGTTAGGATCGGTAAGGCTCTTGCATCATCGACAAGTTCCACTTGGATTCTCAGATAGTTCTGCAGTCTGATTTAACCCTGTCTTTCCCCCCCTCTAGCACCAGAGTATATGCTATGTCTACAGAATGGAAGATTTGATAATGCAGATAGAATGTTCAACAGGTTTGATAAAACACCTCACCATATTGAACACTTTCTGATTTTATATGTGCAGTATGCTTTTTTATATATATATATATATATATATATATATATATATATATATATATTCTGGATATAAATAGAAATGCAAAGAAATGTAAAGTCTAACCAGGCCTGAAGGCATATACTTTTAATCCCAATACTCAAGAATCAGAGGCAGGTGGATCTTTGAAAGTTCCTGGTCAGCCTGGTCTTTATAGAGAGTTCCAGGATGGCCATGGTGAGACCTTGTCTCAAAAACAAGTCATTTCTTTCAACTTTCATAATGTATGTATATGTAGGGAAACATGTTTTTTGTTAATATTAATTTATCCTATATGTACGCGTGTTTGCCTGCATGTATGTATGTGTGCCATGTGCATGCCCTAGCTACAGAAGCCAGAAGATGCCTGGAACTGGAGTTACAGATAGTTGTGACCCACCATGTGGGGGCTGGAGATCTACCCCAGGTTCCTGAGCTGTCTCTCCAGCCCTAGGAACAGATTCTTGTTTTGTTTGTTTCAAGACAGAGTTTCTCTGTGTAGCCCATGCTATTCTGGAATTCATTTCATAAAACAGGCTGGCCTTGAACTCTGAGATCCACCTACCTCTGCCTCCTGGGTGCTGGTATTAAATTTAGGCTTGTGCCACCACACCCGGCTTACGCACAGATTTTTAAATACAGATTTTTTCTCCTGTCCCGTGTAGCCTGAGCAGAGTTTTTCCCATACTATGAATAATATTTTGAAACAATAAGTTTAAAATTTATTATTATATTTTAGAATATACCACAATTTACTTAAACTATTATTCTCTGTTGAGACAGTGTGCCTGTGGTGGTGTGGGGCAGTGTGGTGTGCACCTTCCATGGGGCTGTGTGCCTGTGGTGGTGTGGGATGGTGGGCTTGCTTCACTCCCCTGTGAATCTGGTGAAGTCCCACCAGCCCTCGGGGCCACACTTTTCTTTTTGGTCAAGGGGCCTCGCGTGCATGTTAAAATCTGTGTGAGTGAGAAAACCGGAGCTCCGGAGTCCAGAGCAGTAGGTATTGGTGGGAGGATTACAGGAGAGCTGCTGCTGTTTGTAGCTCAGGCTGATCATGGCTATATCGCTCCTTTTTTATCTAGTATTGCAGAAACCTGGAAAAACTGTTTGGATGGTGCAACGGATTTCAAGGAGGTAAGATGTTGAGGAAGCTGGCGGTCCGCAGGGCTTTGGTTTCTAAATTCTTCAAAAAACATGTTGCCCTCACACGCACACTTGCAGTTGATTCCAGAATTTTATGACGAAGACGTCAGCTTTCTAGTCAATAGTCTGAAGTTGGATCTGGGAAAGAGACAAGGAGGACAGATGGTTGACGACGTGGAGCTTCCAGCATGGGCCTCAAGTGAGTACCTCCTGAGGCATGGCGGGACAGCATGTTGCATGCTTTCCCAGGTAGTGCAGTCTGGGTGTCAGTCACTGTCTTGTATTACTTGTGGCTTTTTAAAATGCCTACTTAGTTGAACTAGAATCTGTGTATCCCAGTCAGAAATATGCTGAGTCTGAATTATAAAGCCATCAATATATGTTGACAGACCTAAATGTTATAAAAATGGTTTCTGCCGCTTTCTCCAGAAAAAAAATGTAAGATGAAGAATAAAATTCATTATAAATATGTATGTCTTTGAAATTAAAAAAAATATGTATCTCTCATCTCCTAGAAGTTTTATGCACAAATGGGTAGGTACAAGAAATGAGAGAAAGTACAATAGAGATGGAATAAAATTCTAATGACGTCTCCCCTCACAGGTCCCCAAGACTTTCTCCAGAAGAACAAAGATGCATTGGAAAGCAGCTATGTGTCCGAGCACCTTCACGAGTGGATTGATCTGATATTTGGCTATAAGCAGAAAGGGAGTGAGGCTGTAGGGGCCCATAACGGTATGTAACATTGGCTGACATTTCACTCAGTGTGGGTTCAGAAAGCAGGCAGGAAGACAAACGAGCTGGAGACCCAGTGCTCTGGAGGATGAAGACAGGGGAGCATGTGCTCAAGACCAGTCTGGGCTACATGTGTAGACTCTGCAAACCAAGCAAAAACCTCTATTATAGAAAAATGACCTAAACTGGGCGGTGGTGGCGCACACCTTTAATCCCAGCACTTGGGAGGCAGAGGCAGGCAGATCTCTGTGATTTCTAGACCAGTCTGGTAGTCTACAAGAGCTAGTTCCTGGACAGCCTCCAAAACCACAGAGAAACCCTTTCTCAGGGAAAACAAAAACAAAAACAACTACAAAAAAAACTGTGACCTCAATGCCTTTGAAGGCCTAAAGTTTGCTTTTAATTAAGCATGAAGAAGATGGCAGCTGTCTGCCTCTTCAGACTCAGTGCTTATCTGCCTCAGGTTTCTCTGAGTCTCTCTGTCAGTAGTGACTCACATGAAGTGCAGTCACACCAGTGCTGTGACTAATGCATCTCTAAGGGAGAAAGTAATGCTAACCAAGGAAAGCATCCGAACAGCAGCCCATCACACCTACCAATTAGGTTTTTGTTCACCAAAAGATAATAATACAAGTTAACTTTATTGTTTAAATATTAATGTTTCACAAAGGAAAATGAGTCTCTTTGAATACAGTCTGAGTTGTTTAGATTCTGGGCAGGGTATTTATAATGAAATGTGTGCTTTGTTCAATAATGTTTATGTCTCTGTTTCAGTATTTCATCCCCTGACCTATGAAGGTGGCGTAGACTTAAACAGGTATGTGTATGTCTATAAGGTGTCTCTGCTTCACTATAAAGCACTTAGATATGAATTAGTAATACACTTATTTGAGAAGTTAAGGTATAGACATTTTGAAAGGATTTATGTCTTGCCTTCAACATTGTTAGTTGCTAAGACACAGAAAATAGGGGACAGAGAGCAGAGAGTTAGCTCAGCAGTTAAGAATTCTTGCTGCTCTTTGAAAGGACTTGAGTTTGATTCCTAGCGCCCAGGCTAGGCAGCTCAGAGCTACCTAGAACTCTAGCTCTGAGGAATCTAGTGCTGGCTTCTGGCCTCCTCAGGCACCCATACATTCGAGGCATCCACCACCACTGCCTGACAGTATTAACCCAGTGCTTGGGAGTCAGAGGCAGGCAGATCTCTGAGTTTGAGACCAGCCTGGTCTTCAGAGTGAGTTCCAGGACAGCCAGGGCTACACAGAGAAACTGCTCCAAAACAAAACAGATAAAACAAAGGAAAAAAATACTATGAAAAGGGGTATGAAGCTCCTTGCTTTTTATTTGAGTTTTTGTCTCCCAGTTGATCTACACTGATTGAAGTTCATGCTTCAGAAACTTGAACCTGGTGGTTTACTGATCTTTTGTGTTTCTTCCTAAAGCATTGAGGATCCTGATGAGAAAGTAGCCATGCTGACCCAAATTTTGGAATTTGGGCAGACACCAAAACAGTTGTTTGTGACACCACATCCTCGAAGAATCACCCCAAAATTTAAAAGTGTGTCCCAAGCCTCCAGCTACAGCGCTTCTGTGACAGATTCCCCGGGTAAGTCGTGTAAAGAGTAGACATAAGGTAAGGGCCTTTGTCTTTTGTGATTAACATAAAGCAGAGAATAAACACAAACTGCTGAGTTGTTTAAAGCTATTTGATTGGCATCTGTAGGAGGCTTTGGGCTGCTTTGGTGGCAGAGATCCTACCTTCCTAGTATGTGCAGGACCTTAGCCTCAGTCCCAAGCACCACAAAACAAACATATTTCTTCTACTCATGTTTTTGTTGAATGTTGTTTGTAACTTTCAACTTTGTGAAGTGGTCATTTACTGTGACCGTGGTTGTCCTGGCTCCCTCTGATCCTGTGGTTTTGAAGTTGCCACTCAGTGCTTAGTAGCACTGTCAGACATGTTCCCAGCCATGCATGCTTCAACAGTTACCTGCTCCACACTTTTTCTAGAACAGATTTCCCCTGGCCTTGACTCTACCAAACCCACATACATAGCTTGAATTCAGTTCACACTGCTTTTGCTTTCTGGTTCTTTTTTCTTATTTAATTTTATTAGCATGTGGCAAGTGTGTGTATAGAATCTCTTCCATCCAGGCCATTCTGGCTGTTAAGCTGAACGTTAAGATGGAAAGATCCCATATCATCAACCATGTAACCACATTTCACATGTCACAGAGCCTCACATGAGGAGCCATGTGACAGCACACAGCATCTCATTAGCAAAATGTTTCCTTTTCTTTCAGTTTTGTCTCATGACACCAAGGCACGCTGAGCCTTTTGGGGATGCTACAAGAGTAGCTAAGCCTACTTTGCATTATTTAAGGGGCAGCTTAAAATACTATTTGAAGACATACAGGGTTAGGTCAGAAATGCTGTCTTCATCCCTTAGTCAGCAACCATAACCACCACTGTACTGTTTTAACCAGGGTGATTACTCCAGCTTCTCTTCATGCTCTTACTTCTGCCCAGAAACCCTTTGAGAAACCCGAAGCCTTGTCTGATTTCTTGTTTTCTGTCTCCTTCTCAAAACCAAAGTAAAGCTTCAACATTCCTAGGCAATGCTTAAGTTTTACAAAGGGGAAGGCTCAGAAGGAAGTGGCTACTTGGACGTTTGTTTCCTATGAGGCCTAAGTGACTGGACATGTCAGGACTCTGTAAACACTAGGAAGCCTGGAGCTTTCAGTGGACCTTTCTATGTCTAATTTGTTCTTGGTCACCGCTGGGCTATGTGACGAATGGATACCTGTGAAAGCATATTTTGGTGGGTGGCTTTTTTCTTGGTTCCTTAACTTTAATAGAATGCAAAGGTGCCTTTCTGTGATTTACAGACTCACTTAGCACCAGTTTCATGTAGTTTCTCCAGGGGAGGAGTCATTTGAAGACCTGACCGAGGAAAGCAGAAGTCTGGCTTGGAATAATATCACCAAGTTGCAGCTACACGAGCAGTACAAAATCCACAAAGAGTAAGAATGCCTGTGCTTCCAGTCTGTGTAAAAGCTGGGATCTTGGTGTAGGGGTGAACCATAGATGCCAAGTCACATGGGAAGTGTCCATTCAATGTTGCCATCATTGATTTCTAGCCTACAGCATGACTACAGTGATTTGTGATATGAAGCCATTGTAGTAAAGAAAGATTTGGCACCAAATGATCTGCTTTGGGCCCCATGCTCTTTCATACTGTCATTTTTGTCATAGGTTGTTCTAGAATAGTGGTTCTCAGCCTTCCTAGAACCCATGAACCCTAGAACGCTGGGCAGAAACAGTGGCCATCTGTAATTCAGAACCCATGTAAAAGTGGCAGGTGTGGTGGCCATCTGTAATCCAGAACCCATGTAAAAGTGGCAGGTGTAGTGACCATCTGTAATCCAGGACCCTTGTGAAAGCTGGGCAGGTATAGTGGCCATGTGTATTCCCAGAACTCAGCAGACAGAGACAGAGACTCCATGGGCAAGCTAGCTAGCCAGAGATTCAGTGAGAGACCCTATCTCACTAAAGAATGCAGAGAGCCATCAAGGAAGACATCCGATATCAACTTTAGGACTCCACATGCACACATACCCACACAGACACATGCTTCCACAGACATGCAAATGTGAATACACATGCATACCACATACATATTCGCATGCAAAAAGTTGTATAAGGGTAAGTGAGTGAGTGAGTGGATGTATGGATGAATGGGAAAATTAATAATGATCTTTTGTAAGATAATAGAAATGCATCGGTAGAAAAAGAGAGGCACCATAAGATAATGAAGTCAAACATGGTGAGAGGAAAAAGGGATTTCAGAACGAGTGAAAGACAGGGAGAGGGGGAAGGAGAGAAACAAACATATACATCATAAAATCTACATAATTTTTAAATGGCATCGGGTTTGTGAATGGAAGCCTTCCGTGTCCACTATGCTCAAGATGTTTGTGTACTCTGTTAGGAGTAGGTCTAATGGGCCAGGCTGCTTCATAAAGAACCCAAGCCTGAGCCCAGGCCCTAGTACAGCTCATGGCTGTCAGCAGTTCCACGCAGCTGGCAGTCACGTGCTCCGTTGGTGATGAGTAGATTTGGGTGTGCTAATGCCTGGTTTTGTTTTAATGTGGCTCAAAGCAGTGTATAGCATCTTGAACATAGACAGCTAGTTCTACCTTGCTTCTTTTAGAATAGCTTTTCTTCCGTCAGCTTCCCAGAAAGGCACATAAAAAGAGACCGTGTGGTCCAGGACAAGATGGTAAAGGTGTGAATAAACTGTGCTTATATGAGTAACATTTAATGGTTGAGCCACGGATGTTCTTTAAAAGGGCCCTCTAGAACCCCATGCGCACACCATTGGCAGTCATTAGGGACAGTGTGCTCTAAATGAAGCAAACTAAGTGTAAAGAATAGTCTCTTTGGGGCTGGTCATGTAAGGTGGGTTTGTGGGAGAAGCAGTTTCCACTTGTCAGAAACTTGTCAGCATCATCTGCAGCAGCTTGGGGAGCAAAGAGTGGGAGGGATTTCTAGCAGCAGGGTGTTATCTAAGCAAAGATGGGCATTGCCAAGCAATGACTGGTAATAGCAGGGACACACAGGGGACAGTCCGAGTGCAGAAGCTATGAAGACAAAATGAAGGGAACTTAGTAAAAGTAAAGCAGGTATCCCAGCACATGGCTAATGGTAAATTATGAAACTCTGACTTTCCACAGGGCGGTTACAGGGATAGCAGTGTCTTGCAATGGCTCTTCAGTCTTTACCACGTCACAAGGTATGTTTTCCTGCCTGAGAAACTCTTCAGCTGGAATTACAGTGTCTGAGCTTTACTGTACTGGCTGTGCTGCTTTCATATAAAATAGGCTTAGAAAAGTTTTGTTGTAGGTTGCCAGAAAGGAAAGGCTTCCTATTGCCAACAAGGTTCCCTTAATGAAGACACAAGGCAGGAAGTCTGTTAGCCAAGGCCTTGCTGACTCCAGGCTATCTTACTGCAAGAGGTTCCAGGTCAACTGCATGGCCTGCAGAACTCAGAATGGCATAGAGGAGTAGCCAGGACAAAGCCAGACCACCAGGGTGATGGTGCATATAGCTTGTGGAATGCAGATCTGCTGTTCAGTTTCACCTTGACATTCAGCATATAGCTCTACAAGTGTTTTGATGATTATAACAAGACAATGAATTCATGTATTGATAATGTATCTGTGCCTTATTGACTGTATCCTAATGATACATTAGAATTTGTCTGTGCTAGTCTAGAAAAACAGCAAAACTCATCTCTTGCTGAACATGTGTTTTCCTGGAGGTCTATCTGTCATTAATTGAAGTGTGCTTCAGTGTCAGGACAACCAGTTCTGACAAAGCTAGTGATTGTTTTTAATGAAGCTACTACTCTTTAGTCCTAGATGAGTACAAGAGACTGTAGTTTCCATCTATCATGTTTATAATGATGCTATACAGATAAGCTCATCCAGGTAGATGAGTAATTGTGCCCACCTTCTGCTGCTGTGGTGTGCTATCTGTAGCATTTCATTCTTTTCTTTTCACATACCACCTTGGATTCCATAAAGTAGAATCTTCCAGAAAATCTACAGAATGATTCTGTAGTAAAGGCTGGACCCTACACTGGACATGTAAGGATATTTACTGTTCTGCTCAGGAAGGAGGAAGCTATCTGTGTTTTGCCAGGATTTCTAGACACTGTGTTGATCCATTAAGCAACCAACAAACACTTGGGTCTTTAAAATTAAACCAGTGGATTGTGACTCCTTTAGGGTGGAATGACCCTTTCACAGGGATCACATATCACATGTTCTGCATGTCAGATACTTACATTATGATTCATAACAGTAGCAACATTACAGTTATGAAGTAGCAACAAAATAGTTTTGTGGATGGGGGTCACCACAACATGAGGAACTGTATTAAAGGACTGTAGCATTAGTAAGGTTGAGAACCATTGGGCTAGTGGTTTGTAAGGTTTGTCTGGCATGGTTTGTCAAATCTTCAGATCTTTGTACTCATGTGACCTTGTAAGCATGAGTCTTATGTTATGACCATCAAGGCTTCAGATCTCTCCCAGCTTATAAATTGTACCACTGCTTTGTAAGCTTGCTAAAAAGGATGGATTTTTGTTAATATTAAACACTTACATTAATTTAAGCTTTTGAAGTTTAGATTTTAGTATCACTGGTCTATATGCATTCTAATATTTGCCTTGAAGTTGAATTTCTTGCTCAAATGCACAGTGTGATTGTTCACAGTCATCAGCACCTGAGGGATCGATCAGCTCCCACTGCTGTGTTTAACCTGGTGACTTCTGGTTCTGGGAGAGCAACTTTGGTTTTGATAAAAGTGTCTCAGCTGCTTTATGCTTCCATAAAAAAGAATTTTGTTAAAAGCCTGTTCTGACATTTACCATGTTAGATATCTAGGAAGTAGTTACTGCATGATAGAATACCTGTCTGTAGGAACATTAAGTTGTGAGTCTTGTGATTTGTTTGTGGTGCTGGAGATCACATCCATGGCTTTGATCCCATGGTAGTGTTTGTTCACTGAGCCTCTGCTCTAGGTTTTTAACAGTGTGTGTTGGTGAACTAATGTCTGTCAGTGCAGGAAATTGAACATTTGGGTATTTTCACTCCTGCATTATTACTCTTTTATAAGCTAGTGTTCGCCCAGCCAGTGTCTGCACTTACTGGCATCTGGCCTGCTGAGGGACTAGAAGTGTTTGACTTGCACATCATGACTCATCAGCTTCTGCATCCCTACTGCCTTCCAGTTGTTATCTGGACCCTACCTGTCTCTCCAGTTCCAGCCCTGCTCTGCCAGTCGCTTTATGAAACAGGAGGGGGGGGGCAGAGCGCAGGATTCTCAGTACCAACTTTAGGTACAAAACAGTTTCCTTCCTCAGTAAAAAAGGAAAATAAATAAAAATACAAGTACTCCTCATCTATAAATAATTGAAAAAATGTCACTATGTAATCAGGCCATTCATTTAAAAAAATTACTTGTATTGCCAAAAATCTTTGTTTTCTTAAAATTAAAATTGGGCCTGGAGAGATGGCCCAGTGTTTAAAAATACAACTCTTTAGCTAACATGGGTGTGGTTCCAGCACACCCATGTTAGTTTATAACTGTCTAGAACTCCTGTTCCAGGAAACCCACCACCCTCTTCTGGTCTTTTCACACAGTAGTCATGTGTAGGGTACACATAAATGCATTTTCAAAACACTTATATACACTCTCACACACCTGTAAATTTTTTAAAGGGATAAAATTTGTTTCAATATTAAGATTTCGGCCTCCCTCCTCTATATCTTTCCACACACTTGAGCGTGGGGCTTCCCTGCGCTTGCAGGCCTTTAGAGATGTCGGTGGTAAACCATGTCTGTGCTGGGACTGTGTGGTTTCAGCTGATCTATCATGAAGTTATAGTCATAGAATCTTAATGTTGGCCAGGCCTCCAATCCCTGCACACACTTACTTTTCTGTGGAATGATGCTGACTTTTGCCCTCCAAGAGTAGGTAGGGTGGCTGACTTTGGCATCTATAAGGCTTCAGAAAGCTTTCATCTCTGTTCTGACTCTTAGATTCCACTTTGAAGATGTTTTCTAAGGAATCCAAAATGCTACAAAGAAGCATATCATTTTCAAATATGGTAAGTTCATTTTATCAGTGTTATAGCAGAAACCCATGGAGCCTGGGATGTAGTTCCATGTTTGAGCATTTGCCTAGCATGTGCAAGACCCTGGCTTCTGGACCTGGAGTAGGGGAGAAAGAGAGGGAGGGAGGGAGGGAGGGAGGGAGGGAGGGAGGGAGGGAGGGAGGGAGGGAGGGAGGGAGGGAGGGAGGGAGGGAGGGAAGGAGGGAGGCAGGGAGGGAGGAGGGAGGCAGGCAGGCAGGGAGGGAGGGAGGCAGGAAGGCAGGCAGGCAGGCAGGGAGGGAGGGAGGCAGGGAGGCAGGCAGGGAGGGAGGGAGGCAGGCAGGGAGGCAGGGAAGGAGGCAGGGAGGCTGGCAGGAGTAAGAAAGGCAGTTTCTCCTTGCTTCTTCTCATACTAGTATGATTTCATTTTAACCTGAAATCTTGAATACCCAGTAGAATTCTCCTTAATAAGTTTATCCTTTCTTTTAGGTCAGAAAAGAATTACTGTGCTACTTAAATAATTTAGGCACTTCTGATTACTTGGGAAATAAAACCAGTTATTAAAGAATTGCCTTCTTTTTAATATCAACACTCCAAGAAAATTTGAAATTCACTTAGGAACTTTGAATGTTTTCCTTAGCCACATCTCTGCAATACAGGGAGGGCCACTTCATCCTTAATGACTGTACTACCATGATCTACTCCAGATTAGCAGCATTTCTCCAGCAGTATGGGAAGCCAAGAAACATCAGGCTGGGTCACAGTATTCCTTGGGAGAAAAGCATACATCTGAACTTAGCAACTCTGAGCCATGAGTGGTTTGAGGAAAGCCACTATAGAAAGAATCTGGCATCTGTTTGGCAGGAACCTGTGACAGAGGTATACCAGTAAAGGGTTTACTAATTATTGCAAGTCATTAATAGCAGATATTTTGTATTTCAGGCTTTATCATCTTGTTTACTTTTGCCAGGAGACACCACTGTCATAAGTTCTTCATGGGATAATAATGTGTATGTATCTGAGCCTGCTGCTTTGTAATTAATTCTTCATGCTTAGTGGCCACCTCACATGTGGATCTGAGGGATAAGAGGGCTCCCCCTAGTGGATGTGTATTAGAGATAAGGACAGTATCATTGGGTTCAAATACCATTATTTCAATGTAATAATTTCTGTAGTGAGAATCTATTTTTTTTCTAACTTTTAAACTCAGGTGAAAATGTAGTTAAGATAGATTCAGAAGTAATCTAATTTAAAATTCAAATGTTGAATATTTTTCCTTTAATAATATAAGAACAATTTGTAATTTTAATAATCATTAGTAGTTTAGAAATAATATTTGTTTCTTAAATGCATGCTTAAGAATCTTAAAATTAAGCTTGGCTATTATTTTAATAGTTGTTGTTATCTTTTAGCTATTTTTATTCCATAGCATTTGGAAGACGCCAAGACACACTGATGGGACATGATGATGCTGTCAGTAAGATCTGTTGGCATAACAACAGGCTGTATTCTGCATCTTGGGACTCTACTGTAAAGGTTTGTATATACTTTTTCACTGAAAATGTCATAAAGTATTGGTGGCCATTCAGCTTCCTATCAATATGTTCAGGAAGTATGTAAATGATATATAAGGATATGTGAATTTTTTCCATTTTCTTAAAGTTTATGTGCTGTGCATTTCCTCCAAATATCGTTTTTTGTTCTTTGATAGTTTTACTCGTGCATATAAAGTATCTTGATCATATCCAACACAAATCTTCCCTCCTTTTCACTCTCACAATACCTCCCCCTTGCATGCTGGAATCTTCCTCCTCTGTTTTTAAACCCAGATTCCAGTTAGTGTTGTCCACATGCAGAATGGATGTCCGCCATCCACAAGAACTTAGGTAGCATATCAGATGCCGCACCCCTGAAAGAAAATGGCACCCCCTGCCCAACAAGTTGTCCCTGTTTAACTAGGGACAGAGCCTCGGGAGGGCTTCTCCTATCCATGACAGAATGTTGTGGAAGTCTTATGCTGAAGTAAGTTTGTGAGTGCAAGAGCCATGCCATATCGGGAAGACATCTCACAGCACTCTCCCCGTCCTACAGACTCTTCCACCTCAGCACTGGCCTGTTGGTGTCAATGTCCATGAAGGACTGAGAAAGCAACAGTCACTTACTCTCAGCACTTGACTGAGTTAGGAGGGTCTACACTGACTGTTTCCTACTGCAGGAAGCAGCTTCCCTGACCAAGGTTGAGAGCAGCACCCATCTATGGGCCTAAACATAAATATATAAACGGCAGATTGGCAATGTAACTGTTCAGCAAAACAGCAGTAATAGGCTTTCAACTAAGGCCTAGGACTTCTCCAGCCCTGGGCCTTTGAGCAGGTTTATAGGACAAGACATGAATTCCTTCCTGTGGAGTAGACTTCAGATCTACTTGGAAAGTCATTATTGTATACAGCAAGCATATTTTGACCGGCATGTCAGTATAATAGCATGCAGGTCCACTGTTTGATAAATCCATTCATGACCCACCCCTAGCCCTGTGACTGACACTTGCTATCAGGGAACAAATTTCCAGGTCAGTTCTGGCTTGATTTCTTAGGCCCTTCAATACATATGTGTTGTGTCTTCAATAATAGGGTCTGTCTCACCATGTGCTTCTGCAGTGTGTTCACCTAGGTGTTCAGAGGCCTTGTTCAGAAACAGAATCGGAGCCTTATTGCTTGATGTCTGCAAACAAAGACTAGAGCCCTCCTAGTTGATCAGTTAACCCTAACAGTGAAAGTCACGTTGAGGAATCATTGAAAGATCAGCGTGTTTAAATATGAAACAGGCATCTGTGTATTCTCAGTTTCTGTGCTTTCTCTCCAGACTCTCTTGTGCTTTTCCCGTACCAACTGCTCCAGTGCTATACACCTTAGATTTCCATGACTCTGTGTACATGAAAGAAACAAAAACCACTATGTTTCTTACAGAATTTGTCAGAAGTCTTTTCCCAACCTATTCATAATATTATAATACGGGGTTTGGTTACCTACTTCTTGAAACATCACACTGCAACACTTGTGCACTCAACATCATCTTGAGTCACACAGTGCTCAAGCCAAACACATTGAAGGGCTGGATGTGGACCGAGGCATGTGTGTACCTATGGGGAGGAAGCCCATGGGGAGGTGCTGGACCTATCCCAGCATTCACTGGCAGACATGCTGAATGGTAGCCTTTTGCAAATGTGTGGAGAATTTTGGATTAAAGTTTAAAAATTCCTTCTGCAATGTGCTCTGTCCTAGGTGTGGTCCGGTGTTCCTGCAGAAATGCCAGGTACCAAAAGACACCAGTTTGAGTTGGTGGCTGAGCTGGAACATGATGTCAGTGTGAGTCTAACAGCAAAACTCTAGGTCCAGAGCGGGGGTGGGCAGTTAAGTACTTGGATTTGTTTTTGTTTTTCCTTCATTTTTTTTTTGTTTGCATATTAGCGTTTATAGGCCAGCTCTTTTGCTGATCCTGTTAGGTATTTGATTCTGCCTTCCTGTCCACCTCTAATTGGTTTGTTTGCACATTTACCTGAGAGAATTAGCTTCTGTCCCAGTTAATTTTCAGAATGTCACTTCTGAGGTAGGACCATACGCTTTCATGCTTTCTGACCTAGAAGGTAGAAGGGACCATCTGTTCCCAGAGGTAGCTATCTCCAAACTGAGAACACTGACAGGCTGTCGGGGATGGCCAAGAACGCACAGCCTAGCAGCACAGCCAAAACAGAACCTGTTCCTGCTGGCTTATTGAGGCATGCTTCTGTGTCTTGAGGCTATAGTATACAGTACTGCCTATACACAGCACCTGTGAATTGGCACTGAGTTTTCATGGTCTTCAAATTATGAAGTTGAAGACACTTAGTATGCAATTCAAGATGGTATTCAAATGGAAAGCTCTTTCATTTTACAAAGCCTTCAGATAGTCATGATCAGCCCTGCTCCAAGTAGTTTGGCACTTTAGTATGATTTATTATTCAGAGTTAACTTTTTAACTTACGTTTTTAATTGAAATGGAATTATATCATCTTCTCAGCTGGGCAGTGGTGGCACACGCCTTTAATCCTAGCACTCAGGAGGCAGAGGCAGGCAGATCTCTGTGTGTTGGAGACAAACCTGGTCTACAAGAGCTAGTTCCAGTACAGTCTCCAAAGCCAAAGAGAAACCCTGTCTCCAAAAACCAAAAAAAAAAAAAAAAAATATATATATATATATATATATATATATCACCTTCTCACCTCCATTTCCTCCCTTCAGCTGCTCCCACCTAACACCCCTTGAGCCCCTACCAAGTCCTCTAACTCTCAAGTTGATAGCCTCTTTTTCTTTATTATTGTTACATACATACACATATATGTATGTGCATATGTGTATGTATAGATATATATAAATACAGCCTGCTGAGTCTGCTTTTGTTGGTGGGGTATAGATGGTCTCAAGGCTGACTACTCTGCATTGAACAACCAATAAGAAAGCTCATCCCTGGGAAAGGTGGTCATGAATTGCCATAGTTCCTTGTTGAGTAGTGAGACCCCGTAAACTTTTCCCTTTTCCACATGTCCGTTGATACTGCCATTGTTTCAGTCTTGTCTATGTAGCCATTTCTGAGAGAGACTATTTCACAACTGTCTCCTGGCATTCTGACTCCCACATTCTCTCTGCCCGCTCTTCTCCATGTTCCTTGAGCTATGATGCAGATGTATCCACTGGAGCTGGGCTCCCTACATTGTGTGCAGTTGTGGTTTTCCGTGATGGTCTCCATTTGCTATGAAGAGAGACTTCTTTGATCAGGGATGGTAACTATACTTATCTGTGGGTGTAAGGACAAGGTTTAGAAAAGTGGTAGTAGTAGATTGTCCTCTAAAGTGCATGACCTCATCAGTTCCCAAGAAGCTGGCTAACTTAGGAATGTTTCCAGGAATGTTTTCCCTCCTGTTAAGTATCCTTAAGTGCAATTGGATAGCTGTTGATTACTACTGCGCTTCTGTACATATCATACAATGCTGGTAATTCTCTTGGTTCCTGGGCATTAGAGATGAATGAGACTGTTTAATTGCCTCCTTCCCTTAGCAACTTGCATAGTAATTTCTGGGGCCATGGAAGCTAGACCACAGGAAAGAGGCTTTCGGGTCAGATCCAGCTCAAGTCATCTGAGTTCTGTGTATAACTTTATGTCAGTATAAAGCAATATGATTCCTTGAGGCCTCATCTCTTCTGAAATGGTCTCCCCCAGCTGGAGCCTCCTCCTCATTATTCCATTTTCCATCTCACCTGTACCTGATACCCCCCCCCATACCTGTGCTCCCTTTACACTTTCCTAGTTTCTGTGTTGTCTACTCACATTTGGAGCTAGAAACTACAGATGAGAAAGAATGTGTGGCATCTGCCTTTCTGGGTAGGGGTTTCCTCACTCAGTATAGTCTTTCCTAGGTGCATCCATTTACCTGAGAATTTCATTTTTATGTACAGCTAAATAGTATTGCACTGGGTACCAATGCACCACATCTTCACTCTCCAATGATCTGTTGCTTACTTATGTTGTTTCCAGTTCCTAGCAGTGTGAATAGGATAGTAATGGATATGGCTGAGCAAATATCTGTGGAATAGGATGTTGAGTTCTTTGGATTATTTTTCAGTTTTTTTGAGGATTCTCCATACTGATTTCCAGAGTGGCTGCACGAATTTGCATTCCCACTAACCATGAATGAAGGTTCCTGTGTCTCAACCTTCAGCATTTGTTGTCAGTTGTTTTGTTGATCTTAGTCATTCTGATTGGGGTGAAATGAAATCTCAAAGTAGTTTTAATTTTCATTTCCTTAATTGCTAAGGATGATGAACACTTTTAAAAGTATTTTTAGCTATTTTTATTTCTTCTATTGAGAGCTCTGTTTAGATCCCTAGCACATTTTTTCAACTGGGTCATTTGTTTCTTTGACTTTGGAGTTTTTTGTTTTGTTTTGTTTTTTGCTGTATTTTGTTTTAGTTCCTTGTATATTCTGGATATCAATCCTGTGAGGATTAATTCTCTCCTATCCTATGGGTTTCTTCTACACCAGTTGATTGTTTTTTTAGTTGTTTGGAAGTTTTATGAGGCCCTTGTCAAATTGCTTGCCTTAATTCCTTGGCAAACAGAGTTGTGTTAAGAAAGTCCTTTCTTACACTTGTATCAGGTACTGCCTGTGTTTTCTTCTAGCAACTTTAGCATTGTTTTGCATTTAAAATTGAGGTCGTTGATCCACTTGGATATAATTTTTGTGTAATAGGATAGATATGGGTATAATTTCATTCTTCCACATATGGACATCCAGTTTTGCCAGTACCATTTATAGAAGATGCCATCTTTTCTCCAGGATTTGTTTTTTGCCTTTATATCAAATAATCAGGTGATAATAGTTATGAATTTTCATATTTGGGTCTTCCCTTTTATTCCTTTGGCCTACATGCCTATTTTTATGCCAGTACCATGTTGTGTTATTGCAAGCCTGGAATTACAATCTTTCCTGTATTATTCCTTTCGTGTAGGATTGCTTTAGCTATCTGAAGTCTGTTCTGATTGTACTTGAATTTGTTTTTCTTTTCTTGTGAAAAATGTTATGGATATTTTGATTGGAATTGCATTGAATATGTAAATTGCTTTTGGTAAGGTGGTCATTTTCACAATACTGATCCATGAACATGGGATGTCTTTTCATTTTCTAGTGTCTTTCTCAAAGTTTCTTTGGCAATTTGAAGTTTTTACTATAAAGATCTTTTACTTCTTGGTTAGTTTTATTCAAAGATATTTTATTGCTTCAATGCTATTTGAGTGGAAATGTACCCATGATCTCTTTCTCAGTGTATTTACTGACATATAGAAAGATTTTTTAAAGTTGAATTTGTACCTTGCCACTTTGCTGAATTGTTGTTTCTCCAAGTTTATAGTAGACTATTTGAGATCTCTTATGTACAGTATCAAATCAAATAGGGATAATTTGATGTCTTTTCCTACTTTTTCATTTTCCTCTCTTGCCTTATTGCTCAGCTAGTGCTTCCAGCACTGGATTGAAAAGGAGTGAAGGTAATGGACAGCCCTGTCTTGTTCCTGATAAGGAGATTGCTTTAATTTTTTCTCCACTTAAATTAATGTTGGCTGTAGGTTTATCATATATAGCTTTTATTATGTTATGGGTTCCCTCCAGCTCTACTCTGTCTAGAACATTTATTATGAAAACATGTTGGATTTTGTCATAGCATTTTTCTGTATCTATTCAGATGATGTGGTTTTTGTCTTAAGTCTTTATATGATTATGTTTATTTTTGTTGGACTAACTGCATTTCCAGGATAAAGCAATCTTGATCTTCTGGATATATGCTTATATTCAGTTTACTAGTATGTTATTGTGGGATGTTAGTATGTAGTTTTGATTTTTGTTGTGTCTTCACTTGCTTTGGTAGTATAGAGCAATACTGGCTTCATGGAAAAGTTTGTCAGTGGGCCTTTTATTTTTATGAAAAAATGGTTGTGGTTCTTTGACATTCTGGTAGTTCTGCTGTGAATCCATCTGAGCCTGGACATTTTTAGTCAGAATGATGGCTTTTTATTAGTTTAGTTTTACTCTTTTATTTATTATTTTTAAAATTATTTGTATCTTATTTACATTGATGTTTCACCTGCATGCATGTCTGTGTGAGGGTGTCAGATCCCCTGGAACAGGAGTTATAGACAGCTGTGAGCTACAGTGTGGGTGCTGGGAATTGAACCTGGGTCCTCTGAAAGAGAAACCAGTGCTCTTAACCACTGAGCCATCGCTCCAGCCCCTTTCTTTTTCTTTTTTTTTTTAAGTTAGAAACAAGCTTGCTTCACATGTCAATCCTAGCTCCCTCTTCCTCCCCTCCTCCCCCGCCCTCCACCAGTTCCCCCAGCCCCCCACCCAATCTCCACTCCAATCCCCAGGGAGGGTGTATGTTGTTGGTCTCTTCTTGGTTTAACTAAGGTAATTTGGAGGAGTCAAGAAATTCATCTATTTTATTATATTTTCCAATTAATAAAGAACAGGTTTTTAAACTGTTGCTTATAATGTTTTGTATTTCTATTGTCTGTTGTAATGTTTCCTTATTCTTAATTCTGCTAACGTAAGTCATCTCTCTTTTGGCTAATTAGACCAAGGGTCTGTCAATCTTGCTTATCTTCTCAAAGAATCAGATCTTAAATTCATTGATTTCTTTATATTGTTTTAAATTTCTGATTTGATTTTTTTTTCTTACTAGCCACTTGGTTTGTTCTTGTTTTTCTTGAGTTGCATCATTAAGTCATTTATTTATGCCTTCTGTTTTTTTAATGTAGGCATTGGAAAATATAAATTTTCCCCATAGGATTACTTTCAATGTGTCTCAGAGGTTTGTTGTGATGTGTTTCATTTTCATTTATTTTCAAGAATATTTTCTTTATGACTTCTTCTTTGACCCATTGTTTGATCTCCATGAGTCAATACACTTACTAGATTTTTGTTTGCTGTTGATTTTATTTTCTTACATAATGGTTACATAGGATACATGGGATTATTTCAAAGGTTTGCTTTGTGTTTTAGCGTGTTGTCTGTTTTAAAGAAGCTTCCATGTGCTGCCGAGAGAATGCTTATTATTTGGTATTTTGGAGAAATATTCTATAGATATGTTAGGATCATATGAAGTAAGATAATATTTAATTCTGATATTTCTGTTTATTTTTTTGTCCAAATGACCTGTCTTTTGGAGAAGGTGGGTTATTAAAAATCATTTACTATGATTGTGAGTGTGTTACCTGGCCTTAATCCCATTAGTATGCTTCTAATAAAATTGGGTACATCAGGGCTTGGTGTATGTGTTTAGTATTGTGATATTTTCCTGACTACTTGATTGACCCCTTGATTAGAATGAAGTACCTTCCATTGTTTCTATGATTAGTTTTAATTTGGAATCCATTTTATCATATAGTAAGGATGGCAAGCCTACTTGCATCTATCCCATTACTTGGAATACATTTTCCAATCTTTTATTTTAAAGTGATGGTGCCTATCTTTAAAGCTGAGTTTTATATAAACAACAGATAATAGATTTTGTTTTTTTAATTCATTAATATTTAGAGTTAGAGTGCATATTCCTCTCAGAGTATTATTTCCAGTATTCTGTTTACCATTTTGTTGTTTCTTTCTTATTTTTGTATATGGTTTTTCTAAGGCTGCTTGGACCATACAAGTTTTTCTTTCTCCTAACTGTGGCAGATACTTGCTGGGTATAGTAGGTCTTCTTGAGACTATTTTAGGCCATTTGAAAACAGGATTACAACTCCCATTATTTCATATACTTGCATTTATCTGGCATACTTAAGAATATTACTTCATTTTAAAATAAATGGTCTTTGATAATATTGAAATATAATACAATCATATTAGTTGTACCAGCACATAGAACAGTTTAATTTTTATTATTTTGAGTGGATATTTTAATGAGCCTAGCAAAGGCATAGTTAATGGTGAATCTGAGCTAATTATTTATCACTATTTCTTCTTAGGTCAATACCATCAATTTAAATGCTGTAAGCACACTGTTAGTTTCTGGCACCAAAGAAGGCATGGTAAATATTTGGGACCTCACTACAGCAACATTATTACACCAGATTTCATGCCATTCAGGGACAGTATGTGATGCTGCTTTTAGCCCAGGTAAGTATTATCCTTTTGAATGTAGAACACATCAGCTTAGCTAGAACTCTAAAATTAAAATTCAAAGGAAAAACATTCCTTACTAACAGGAGGTTTTGCCTATAGCTAAGGCTGGTTCATGTCTGGATACATATTCTTCTGACACTGGTAATTTATAAGTTGGATATTGCTTTTAATTCCCCAGCTGGAGGAATCAGCATGTACGCTGGAAATGATCTCTTATCAAGGGGCCATCTCATTTTAGGGTCTTAGAAACTGGGGTAAAACTTGAAGGAGTTCAAGGAAAATGAAGTAGGTAGTAGATTCGGAATCAAGTCTGATGAGACCTGCTTTCTGAAGCAGCTCCCTGTGTCTTTATGGCAGATAGTCGCCATGTCCTCAGCACGGGAGTAGACGGCTGTCTGAAGGTGATCGATGTGCAGACAGGCACGCTCATCTCCTCCATGGCCTCCGAGGAGCCACAGAGGTACAGCTGCTGAGTGCAGTGGTGGCATCTGCAGGATGTTCGTGACTGTTTCATCTGGTCATGCCTGACCAGGGCTGCACACTTCCCCTTATGACGGAGTCTCCTGATCATGCTTGCAGGTGCTTCGTCTGGGATGGAAATTCTGTCTTATCTGGAAGTCGGTCTGGTGAGCTGTTTGTTTGGGACCTCCTTGGAGCGAAAATCAGTGAGCGGATACAGGGCCACACAGGTGAGTGGGGTGTGGCTGGCTATTGCATCAGCTGGTGAGCTCTCTGACTCGGACCCCTTTCCAACAGGGAACACTCTTACAGGGAACACTCTTAGACAGACCCCATGTGTGCTCTGGGTTCCCTTGCACATTCTGGTTGGCCAGAGGTATGTCTTTCAGGTTCCTTAAAATTTATATTTATTTTAGCCTCTGAAAGAAATCTTTACTTCCATGTAGAATTAAAAACTATGGCAAAGGTGTACAATTGACTCTTAAAACGAATGCAGTTACTGAAAGACAATGGAAAAATAAACTCTGGAAACTAAGGCATCCTCCAACCTACTATCAGACTGCAACTCCTACATCCCAGTCTTGAGGGCTGCTTTTCAGGGGATCGAACATGGATCTTACTGGAAGCATTATGTGGAGAGAATTACAACATACAGTATCATGTAAAGTTTTCTGCTCCCTCTCCTTTTCATTTGCAAGCTCTCGAGAGACTCAGTGTAGTCAGCTTACATTTGCAGGGCTGTTTTCTTGTCATATAATTTCATATGCTTTAGTTCTTCTTAGACAGGTATCTTACAATTGTGTAGGGATTTATATGTGAACCTTTCAATGGAAAAGGTCTAAGTCTGCAGACCTAGTCACAGGCTGCCCATTTTCCCTTCCCATAAATCTTGTTTTTCTTATACCATTTGCCAAGGTGTGTGTTGGCCATCAATCACTTTGCTTTTAGATTCATATTGAAAGGCTTTCAAGTTCTCTGTAGAGGCAGGTGTTTTCAAACTTACAGAGTTTTTACTATAGAAAGCCAAGCATTAGTGACTAGCACACAGAAGTCGGCAGTGCAGTTGCATCTGCCCTGGGTTTCATTCCTCCGTGTCTTCCAGGCGCCGTGACATGCATATGGATGAATGAACAATGCAGCAGCATCATCACAGGAGGAGAAGACAGACAAATTATGTTTTGGAAATTGCAGTATTAAGTGCCTTTTCCTCTCTATTAAGTTCAATTCTATTTAATGTGTTTTTAAACCCAACTTTTAACTGGTGAATGTGCAATGGTAGTACTTAGAAGTTTCACCACCTAAAGAATTTGTGGTGTCAACTTCCTAAATCATGGTGACTTCATTCAAAACCATTTGTCATCATCGATTAGGGAAGATAAAATATGGAAGTGTTAGGGGCAAGAACACAGAGGACTGTCACATGCGATGGTGGTTAGAAAACTGTACGGGGTAGGAGGGGACAAGCAGAAATACCAGCACTGGCCTGCTCAGTTCTCCTAGAAGAGGTACAGGAACCTCTGAAACAAGCTGCCCAGTTGTCACGAGATTCTTCCATGTGTTTTCATGGACTGTTTCCTTTCTACAATGCAGTGCGCCTAGATTCTAAGAATCTGGGGGAGGAATAGTGGCTCTTATAACAGTAAGTCCATTACTGTGTATAGTAACGGTTTATATTTCATTACGCTACTAAATGTTCATCTTTTCTACATTAAAAATATTTTTCTGTAATGAAAGCACTTTTCCTTTTCTATTTAAATAATTTAAGAATCGCACATATTAATCCTCTACAAAACCATACTCACTGACAAATACAATTTCATTTCTTCCAGACAGCAAGGAAGAAAAACTGGGAAATATAAGTTTCCAACATGGTAGCTATATCAAAACACCTATGATTTTCTCTTTATTTAATCTCTGAACAGCAACCACATGGTTACAAATTTTTTGTACTGTTGAGAGCACTGTTACAGTGTAGTTAAGAGGAAAAATTACCAAAGCAGACCATAGTAGTCAGTTTTAAGTGTCACTGAATACATGTGGGTGGTCTCTGCTTTCACTAGAGATGTAGCAGCCTCATCAGATTCCTTCATCACCTACAAGTGTACAGAGTGAACGGGGCCACAGGTCTGGCCCTGCAGGGATCTCAGACAAGTGTATTTCCAGACAGTCTTAGCTCTAGGACTGTTCTCAGATGTGAGAGGAATGAAGGAATAACAGACAGACTAAAAGTTAACATTTTTATACATTTAATAGGATAATATCAGGATATTACTAGGATAGGCACAAACCAAGAAGAAGGAAAAAAACCAAGATAAAGTGTCATTGCCATTTTTGTTTAGAGGACGGAGTGAGAAAATAGAACAGATTAAAATGGCTAGGGAAAAATCCTAAGATGACTCCAAAGTAACTAAGTTACATAATGTTAGGATTCAAATGTCAAATTAAATATTGCCCACTTAATCTACAAATGAAAAGGAGACCCCCAAATTTGTTCTGTTTATATAACAACGTTTACATGAAATATATAGCGATTTGTCTTTCAGAAAGCGATACAGCAACTTTTACGCGTTTCCTTTATGCAGTGACTAGAAAAATCTCCATACAATTAGGCAGCTCCGCTTAGCAGTGAGCTGCTCAGGGCTGGCAGGTACCAGCTTAACAGAGAGCTAACACTCAGGTCTCAGAAGGCAGCAATAATTCTATTTTGGCTTTTATTCTAAATGCTTGCTGTAGTTAAGGCGACAGTTGAAGCATATTAAGTGAAGGTAGTTAAAATTTAGTGACAATCATGACAGTCTCTTGCAAACTACACACAATATATAATGCTTTTGTGGAATGAAACCAGTGTTGATTAACTGGAATTTTACACACTCATACAGAGAAAACTTAAAAGTAACTACCAAAGGCAATCATCCTCAATGTACTATGCTGATGTTCTAAAATCCAGGTATGCCACAGCACTGAAGCACGCGACTAGCACTGGGCTTCATCTAGGACAAAGGTGACCAGTTCTCATACAGCTAAGCCTACACCAACCAGTCATCCTAACCACAATGGCTTATAAAAGCATCAGGTTTCCAGTGAAGAAACGATTCTAGGAAAGTCAGTAAGTTTCACATCTGTAAAACCAGGATAAGGCTACACCTATCTTAAAATCTGCAGAAGACATCAGATAGAGTAAGGTTCCCAGCCATGATGGAAGACAGACAGGTCCCCATGCAGCATATTCTCCCTGGCTCCTGGAAAGCTTCATATGTGAAATATAGAAGTTGCCGAAGAAGAAAACTGGAAACATTCAGCTGTGATGCGTTGTTCAAGGTTTCTAAACCTCGGGAATGGTGTGATCCATCAGACTTTTCATAATGCTCGGTGCCATCCTACAAGAGAGCCACTCATTATATAACGCGTGTTATTTTCTGTTATTTTTTCTTTTTTTTTTCTTTTTTCAGAGTTGAAGACCGAACCCAGGGCCTTAGCAAGCGCTCTACACTCTACCACTGAGCTAAATCCCCAACCCCAAAGCATGTTATTTCCAACGATGCCATTTTAACCCAAGACAACCCCAATTCCAATGTAGTACTATTGCCTAAAGGTCTTTAAATGAGCTCAGAGCTACAGAACTGATAACAGTTGTCTAAGACTGTCCAGGAAGATTAAACATCTACACCAGGGTTGACGTGCTAGAGAAGGTGTAAGTCATTTACCTTAAGACTGGCAGTTTAATTAAAATAAAACAAAACAGCAAGGCTAAGGAGTTAGAAGAAAAGGTGGAAAAGGAACCTACCAATAGTTAAAAATGAAAAAAGACTACAGAACAGTCAAGTCTTCACAATATTTTCCCTTCCAAGGGTACTTAGCTGCATTCTACCCAAAAGCCAAAAATACAAAGATTTCATTACAAAGGTTAGGCTTATGTATCTTGGAAATCTCACTTTCTAATGCTCTATCAGGATTCTGAATGAAGGGTTTCCAAGAAACAGTACCAAGTATAAAGATAGTCAGAATCACCCCTTGCTGGCCATTGTCAGCTCTCATGAACTTTATACTGCTTGGTTCTGGGGGACAGAGAGCAAGCACCATGCCCCTCTACCTCCTGAGACACACTGCAAATAGCAACAGTAACCCTATCATAACCACCATGACTAGATTTCTAATAAGCAGAACTGCAGACTTCACTTCATGTGACAGCAAGCCTAAGTAGAGCTGTGCACTTACCGTTTAATAATATGTTCAAAGATGAAAGCAGGCATGATTGTAATGGTAACTACAGTCCCAGCTGTTGACAGTATGTCTGCAATCTGAGAATCCTAGTGAAACATAATAGAATTTAATTTCACTGAGGCCTTATTTAGTAAACATAAAACTGTAATTGTTAGGTAAAAATCACACTATATTTGCTGTTGTCATGCTAATATCTCTGCAGTCCCAATCCCTGGTACGTATGAATTTTAATTTTAATCTTACAGACATGTTTTAAGCTGGTAGCAAAGTTGAAGGCATTGAACACAATCATTCCCTTCTTACCTGAATATGGAGAGCTTGCCCCAATCACAGTCAAGTGTATTCTAGAATTTATGAATTAAAGCCTTACTTAAAACCTTTAGCTCTTAAGATAGTCTCAATTCAAGGATTTATATGCCGAGCATGGTTTCACATGCCTTTGACCCAGCACTGCAGGAGCAGGCACATCTGAGTTAGAGAATGGCATGGCCTACATAGTGAGTTCCAGGACATCCAGGGCGATGTAGAGACCCTGTCTACAAACAAAAATTCCCACAAAAACTTTATAGATCAAAATATAAATACAAAGTATTAATATACACCAAGACCTATTCCTTTCCTGTATTTCTGAACTGAAAAATGTTGAACATTCACCCATTCACAATGTCTAAAATTGTACCCTTCCATTTCTCCTCAGAATTCTAACTAGAGAGAGATCATAGAACCATAGTTTAGTGACCCTGTTATGGAAAAAAAATAATTCCAGGTAACATCCCAGAGTTAGTTCTGTGATGGCCCAAGACCATAGCTCCTACATTTATCTCCCACGTTTCAGTGTTTGAGGCTCATCAGGAAAGTCACACCACCTAAATGTTATCTAAAATAAAATGGCTCCAAAACCAGGGTCCAGTGTGTTGCTTACCTTCAAACCAATGACGTTCTGCCCATTGATCTCACAGATGTGATGATCGGTGAGAAGGCCATTTCTGGCAGCAGAACTATCTTTCACTATGGATGTGATTTTTCCACTTTTAAAGATAAAACCAACATGTCCGCTGCTGTCCTTATGCATAGTAATTGTCCTCTCAAAGGGCCTGTAAGCATTAAGTGCTGGGTTAGACTGAAACTTTAATTTCATACTTCAATAGACATGACATACCATCAACTGCCTCATAGATACGTTGTTACAGTAAGGGCTGTTTCTAATAATTTATTATGGCTCTGACACTATACACGGGACACCTCAAGCCTTTCTTAATCTCATGATTTGACTGACTTGCTAATAAAGATACCTTCTGTTAAGTTTGAGAAAACAGAACACACTACTTTGTGGAATCATCAATACATTTCTCTTTACAGTCCACCATACTTTTAAGTTATCATTACATCTTTCTTTACAGTCCACCATGCTTTGCATTAATAACAAGATGGCACTGAACTAACTCACTGAATACCTTTCAATACTTGTGGGAGCTGACTGACCTTAGGACATCTGACACTGAAAACATGATTTTTCACATCTCAATTTTGAAAATGGTACAGATGACACGGTCTCATTATATGCAGCTCCATCTTCTCAAGCGCTGAGATTACAGTCAAAGCTTTGCTCTAACTTGGAAGAACCACCAGTGAAGCAACGAGAGAGAGATTACTCAAGCCTGACTGGAAAGGAAGGCACAAACTATTAAAAAGGCCACAAGTCACCTGCCTCAGGCACTGTCCTGCCACTGTGCTATTGTAAGTTTTTAAGGCCTCCTCATTTGTTTACATTATGCAATTCTGCAGCTGTACCTTCCTATTGGTCCAACAGTTTTAAAAAATTCTTTCTTGTAAAATAATGTGTAGCCAGACATGGTGGCATTCTTTAATCCCAGTACTCTGAAGAGAGAGGCAGGTGGATTTCAGTGAGTTTGAGGCCAGCCTGGTCTACAAAGTAAGTCCAGGACAGCCAGAGCTATAACATAGAGAAACCCTGTCTCAAAAAAAACAACAACAGGGAAAAAAAAGCTTAAAATTATTTAAGAAGTGAAAGACTTCTCTATACAATGAAAGACCTCTCCCAGTGCCAACAACTTAAAGATATTGAAAAAGGAAATCACAGAAGATAGTTGATGATGAAAAGTCCTTGCAACTGGATTGGCAGAATTAATATTGTGAAAAATAGCTATATTACACCAAAACTAGTTTATACAATTAATGCAATACCTATCAAAATTCTGGTATCAGATTTCACAGGTTTAGGAAGAACAAACCCAAGGATTCATTTGGAACCTTCAAAAACTACAAATGACCAGGGCTGGAGAGATGGTTACAAGGTTAAGAGCACTGATTGCTCTTCCAAAGGTTCTAAGTTCAATTCCCAACAACCACATGGTGGCTCACGACTGTTTGTAATGAGATCTGGTGCCCTCCTCTCACCTTCAGGCATACATGCAGACAGAACACTGTGTACATAATAAATAAATCTTTAAAAAAAATGCCAGAGCTAAGTTAAAAAAAAAAAAAAGACTACAAAAGACCAAAGCAATCCTAAGAAGTAAGAACATTGATGGAGATCTTACAATACTCGACCACAGATCATACCACAGCTAGTCATTAAGAAAACCTGGTGCTGGCATTAAAAACAGACAGAAGACCAAAGGAAAAGAACAGAGGGACCATAAATAAAATGGTAAAGCTATGCCCATGTAGTATTCAGCTCTGAAGAAAAATGAATTCATAAAACTAGGAAGAAAAATGGACTTACAATGAATACTATTACTCAAAGTTACAAAATCTTAGGAAATAAGCACATTATTTATATGCATAACACACAGGTATATGTGATACAACATAAAGAAGGACTGAATTCGGATAGTAAACATGTATTATGAATGAATACAAGGAACTGTTTTGTGTGTGTGTGTGTGTGTGTGTGTGTGTGTGTTCTACTCTCATGGATTTGTTTAAAGTAGTGGGTAAGTGTCAAAAAATATATCCCAAAGTGAAAATATCCAATGTGTAGCTCCATTGTATTAGACTCACTGAGATTGATAGTCTTTGGGTCTGGCTAATTTCAACATGTGGAATCTTTTTATCTGCATCGTTAATTTTTTTTTAATGATGTAGGTTGGTCTGTGTGTATGAGTGCAGGTGCCTATGCAGAAAAAAGGTGCTGGAGCTCCTGGAGCTGGAGTTGCAAGCAGTTGTGCCCTTCCCAACTTGGTTCTCTGGAAGAACAGTGTGTACTCTTAACCAGACATCTTGCCAAAACCGATCCAACTTTATGAAATTCTGTTTACAGATTAAAAAGGAAATTAAAACTTTTCCATCTTCAAATTTTGAGGAATTTAATAAATTTCACATCAATGTTATTTTTAGTTTAAGATAAAAATAGACTACCTACCATGCAGAACAATGCACCCTCTTTTACTTAATTACACCACCACCCCAGAGACTGGATTTGGTTTCAAAACTAAGATCTTGGGAGCCTGTGACGATTTCAGTACTCATGATAAAGAGCCCTGGCATGGGATGCTGAAGCAGTGGGCTGGCTGCAGGTGAGCCCATGGCTGCTGTACTGTCATGTCAGTTACTCTCTCTAGCGCATACATCCTTTCTAAAGATGATACAGACAGAAAAACACTGCTTAGAGGACAGATTCCCATAAAGTGTGGGAAAGTATATATGCAAAATCAGAATTCCATGAAAAGAATGTAACTATTCAAGAAAGAACTGCAGCACACAACTACAAAAACCGGAAGACTATAATGAATCAACATTTCCTAAACAAACAAAAAGCAGAAGTAGAAAACCATATTCACAGAATCCTGAAATGAAAGCAGAAGTGTAGGCTTGAGTCTCCGTTTTCCCTGCTGGGTCTCAGCTCACCTGTCCCGAATGGTCATGGTGATCTTCTCTCCAAACGCCTGCTTGAGCACCTTGTGTGCCTTATCAGAGCTCCAGCCTGCGCAGTTGTCACCATTGATCTGCAGTACCTGGTCCCCAAATCTCAGACCAACCAAGGAGGCTGGGGAATTAGCCTGGACTAGCTGAACAAATACACCCTAGGTAAGAAGAAAATAATTTACCATTTATCACTGCTATGGCTGATCAGCAATCTTCCTAGTATTGTATGATATGTCAAGTCATCCCTTAAAAGAAACAAAACTTTATTAAAGCAGAAACACCTGAAAAAAACAAACAAATAGATCTCAGTGGGGACCTACCTGGGTAGCCTTAGTCGTTTCACCCTGCATATAGTCAAGTGATAGGAACGGGGCAACATTACCAAATGCAAACTTTACACTGCAGGTATTGATCATACCAAGCACTGCATGCCTGAATTTACTATTTGAAATAAAATAAATAAATAAATAAATAAAGTCATTTGGAGCTGGGGTAGAAGGCTGAGCAGTGAAGAGCACTTGCTACAGAGAACTCAGGTTCACTTCCCATTACCAATATGGTGCTCACAACTATGTGTAACTCCAGTTCCTGGGGATCTGGCATCACATTCTGACCTCTGAGAGTACCAGGCATGCATGTGGTGATTACACATACATGCAGTCAACACTCAAAACATAAAATTAAATACATTTGAAACTAAATGATAGTTTAGCCGGGTGTTGGTGGCGCACGCCTTTAATACCAGCACTCGAGAGAGGCAGAGGCAGGCAGATCTCTGTGAGTTCAAGGCCAGCCTGGTCTACAGAGTGAGTTCCAGGACAGCCTCCAAACCCAAAATACAGAGAAACCCTGTCTCGAAAAACCAAATTAAAAAAAAAATCCAGGAAATATGGGACACCATGAAGAATCCAAACCTGAGAATAATAGGTATAGAAGAAGGCGAAGAAATACAGCTCAAAGGTACAGAAAACATATTCAACAAAATCATAGAAGAAAACTTCCCTAACCTAAAGAAAGATATGCCTATGAAAATACTAGAATCTTACAGAACACCAAATAGGCTGGAACACAAAAAGAAGTCACCTCACTACATAATAATCAAAACATCAAACCTACAGAGTAAAGAGAAAATATTAAGAACATCTAGGGAAAAAAGGCCAAGTAACATGTAAAGGCAGACCTATCCGAATTACACCTGACTTCTAAATGGAAACTATGAAAGCCAGAAGATCCTGGACAGATGTCCTACAAACACTAAGGGAACAAGGATGCCAGTCCAGACTACTATATCCAGCAAAGCTTTCAATTACCATAGATGGAGAAAACAAAATATTCCATGACAAAGCCAGATTTAAACAATACGTATCCATGAATCCAGCTCTACAGAAAGTGCTGGAAGGAAAACCTAGACCCAACGAAAATAAGTACACTCACAAAGACATAGGCAACAGATAATCCCACTTTACCAAACACCAAAAGAAAAAGGGAGGAGAACCTACACACAATAACTCCACTGCCAATAAATCAAGCACAAACAAGAATCATCAATCAATGTTCATTAATATCCCTCAATGTCAACGGTCTCAATTTGCCTATAAAAAGACACAGACTAGCAGAATGGATACAAAGACAGAACCCATCCTTCTGCTGCATACAAGAAACACATCTCAACATCAAAGACAGACGTTACCTCAGAGTAAAGGGTTGGGAAAAGATTTTCCAATCAAATGGCTCCAAGAAACAAGCAGGTGTAGCAATCCTAATATCTAACAAATTAGATTTCAAATTAAAATCAATCAAAAGAGATGAAGGGCATTTCATATTCATCAAAGGAAAAGTCCATCAAGATGAAGTCTCCATTTTGAACATCTATGCCCCAAATACAAAGGCACCCACATTCATGAAAGAAACATTACTAAAACTCAAATCACACATATAATCTCACATACTAGTAATAGGAGACTTCAACACTCCACTCTCACCACTAGACAGGACCTCCAGACAGGAACTTAAC